ACAGGAGTAGGCTGGAATAAAGGGCCCTGTGTTGGTAACACGGCGCCGGCGAGTTCTATTAACTATCCTCAGCTGTGCTTACAAGATGGACCCCTCGGCATCCGGTTTGCCACGGGTAATAATGCTTTCGTTCCGGGAATCCAAGTCGCGGCGACTTGGGATCGCGCCTTGATGAGGGAGAGGGGACAGTTTATGGCCGAGGAGACGAAAGGGTGCGGTATACACGTGTTGCTAGGTCCCGTTGCCGGTCCTCTTGGTAAGAACCCTGCAGGTGGACGAAACTGGGAGGGCTTCGGCGCCGACCCATACTTGCAAGGTATAGCCATGGCGGAAACTATCGAGGGCATGCAGAGCGTTGGTGTTCAGGCCAATGCGAAGCACTACATACTAAACGAACAAGAGCTCAACCGTGAGACCATAAGCTCTAATATTGACGACCGAACTATACATGAGCTCTACCTTTGGCCATTTGCGGATGCTGTACACGCAAACGTCGCTTCAGTCATGTGCTCTTACAATAAGATTAACGGCACTTGGGCATGCGAGAAGTAAGTTCTAGTTGTCCGTTCTTTTGCTTTCTTGGGCGCTATCCCTAGTCTTGATGAACACCTGTGATCCCAGCCCTACGAAATTTATTACACGGTTTCGAGCCAAAATAATCATACTTTTTATAATCAGAAATAACTGACTGGCGATAATGTAGCCCATACGCTATAGACACGCTCTTGAAGAAAGAGCTGGGCTTTCAAGGATACGTCATGACGGACTGGAATGCGCAACATTCCACTGTCGAAGCTGCGACCTCCGGACTGGACATGACCATGCCTGGTACTGATTTCAACGGCGGGTCTCTGTACTGGGGTTCGAAGCTGACCCAGGCTGTAAGCAGCGGCCAGGTGCCGCAGTCTCGTCTCGATGACATGGTGCGCCGGATTCTGGCGGCTTGGTACTTGCTAGGTCAGGACAGCGGCTATCCCGCTACCAACCTCAAAGCAAACGTTCAAGGAACTCACAAGACAAATATTCGCGCGACTGCGAGGGATGGAATCGTCCTACTAAAGAACGAAGGGAATATTCTCCCTCTGAAGAAACCCGGCAAGCTCGGATTGGTCGGCTCTGCTGCTGTTGCCAATCCCCAAGGAATCAACGCTTGTACCGACCAAGGATGCAATACTGGTGCTCTGGGAATGGGATGGGGTTCTGGAACTGCTTCGTATCCTTATTTCAGCGCTCCGGCAGATGCTATTAAGACTCGAGCCCAGGCCGACGGGACGCAGATCAGCTTGTCCTCGTCTGACAGTACCAGCTCTGTAAGCTCAGCCGTCGACGGGGCGGACGCCGCTATCGTATTCATTACTTCCGACAGCGGTGAAGGATATATTACAGTAGAAGATAATGTGGGAGACCGCAATAATCTTGACCCGTGGCATAACGGCAATGAGCTTGTAAAGGCTGTTGCTGCTGCGAGTGATAATGTGATTGTGGTCGTACACTCCGTCGGCCCAGTCATACTCGAGACGATTCTAGCACAGCCGAACGTAAAGGCGATCGTGTGGGCTGGTCTCCCGTCTCAAGAGAATGGCAATGCGCTAGTAGACGTTCTCTACGGAGACACCAACCCTTCGGGAAAGCTGCCGTACACTATTGCTAAGTCTGCCGCAGATTACGGAATTAAAACTAGTCAAGGCAATGACGACTTTAAGGAGGGTTTATACGTTGATTACCGCAAGTTCGATAAAGAAGACATCGCACCGAGGTACGAATTTGGCTACGGTCTATGTAAGTTGGCTCGCAATCCGTCTCTTCGTTTGAATATTTCATAACTAACTCTACTCCGCAGCGTACACCAACTTCACTTACTCCGATATTTTTGTTGACGGGCGGCCAACAGCAGGCCCTGCAACTGGGGATATCATCCCGGGAGGGCATGCTGACCTTTGGGAGACGGTAGTAACTGTTACCGCCACAATTACCAACTCGGGCGCTGTTCAAGGCGCCGAGGTAGCACAGTTATACATAGGCTATCCAGAGTCCGCCGCCGCGCCGCCAAAGCAGCTTCGCGGGTTCGAGAAATTAGCCCTAGAGCCAGGTGCTGAGGACATCGTCGCCTTCGAAATCAAGAGGCGAGATTTGAGCGTTTGGGATACAGCGAAACAAAACTGGGTTGTTCCCTCGGGTACTTTTAACTTCACCGTCGGTGCGAGCAGCCGCGATATTCGGTTGAGCGGCACCCTCGAGGTTCCATAATCGGAAAGGTGTAGACAAAACTCATCTATTTTACCATGTACATATGCCATTACATACAGACATCAGTTTAAACATAACATATTTAAGGATACCGCTTTGTATAGACAGCTAGAATCCCTTATATATGGTGAATTTGAATACAACAGTTACCTACACCGTGTTTTAAACAAGACAGGCCAGAATCCTTTCCCAACCCATCATTTATTTTCTTAGCCTCTAAAAGAAATATTTCAGTAGAGGCTTTTGGCCGTTGTTGATTTAACTAATAAGTCCAAGTTGGTCAAACATTAACTTGAGTCAAGTCTACAAGAGAGATTTATAGTGCTTTATGATATGAAGAGTTGAATGAATAGAAGTTTGACTAGCTTCCTATGCCAACGTATACAGAACGATCCCAACAGAATAGGACACCTTTAGTATTGCACCAACGATCATTTTTACCGATGGAGCATACCAAATCCACTCTCTATATATAAACAAATAACAGATTCATAGTCACTAAGGAGATAACCGTCCTCTGTGGCGCAATTGGCTAGCGCGTCGTAAGTCCAATCCACTTGGTCTATGTGAATACTCACATACTAATCCTATCATCACAGTGACTGTTAATCAGGAGGTTGGAAGTTCGAGCCTTCCCGGAGGAGACATTCCTAATTCTTTTTCCTTGCGGAGATATTTGCTATGTGAGCTTTTGTTTTATGAAAAGAAATGCATTAATATTTTGGTCTAATTCTATAAGGGTCATATCATTTCTCGTCTCGGACTTATATATAGGACTTATCACGTTTCATAAATCACATGCTTTATATGCCACAGGTACTGATAATATTCAGAATTTTGCTATTCCCATCCGTCGTGGGAGCTAACCAAGTAAGTAGGTAGTATTACGTGCTAGTAGTAGGGTATATCCCGTAGTGGGTCGTGAAACTTCACTCGATTTTTGTAACTACCTATTGCAGACTGCCAGCTTTACTATACTGATGACGGAGTTTATATCTTATTAAAATTCCATAGTATTACTACGTAATATTTTCGATGTTGACCCCGATGATACTTTATACCAAGAATTATATTAACAAGGTAATTTTATGTAAGTGTTGTTGTTTTAATATAGCTGAAGCGCTTTTTACAATTAAATTACTCGCTTGTCATTGCCTGTTAACTATGATTCCTAGTTGTTTTTATATCACTATCGGCCATCATCGTCAGCCTTATAATATCCTCTCATAGTCATACAAAGTATTTACTTACCATGTTGAGGTAACGAGCCCTAGGGGTGAAGCGAGTATTGTATTTAATTATATTTATTAGTCATAGTATTGTGGATGGATAAGAAAAACACAATAAGTAAATGAATATGCCGATCCCTAACTTAAAGACAGTAAGAAAACGAAGAAACCAGTCTATAACTTTATATCCCCGTATACACAAATGCCTCTGTGCCTATGGCTTGCTTAGCAGTGAAGCGAATTGTACCCATGAATAGAAAGCCTAATATATCGATATCACATCCATTAAGTCCTAGTTGGTATATTGAACTTCGGAAATATATCCGTCGCTTGTTATGCTTCATAAGATACCTATAATCGCAAGTTCTCTTTTAAGGGGCATTGAACGAAGTCATACATATTCAATAAGGAATTTCAAGCGTACAAGGTAACTATGATATCGAATTCAATATAAGATCAATATGAGAACTTGTTTTAATATAACCAACATAGTTTTAAAGACTCGATATTCGATAAGAGTATGCTCAGGGGAATGATTTAAAGATCAAATGGTGCTCTTACGTCAAACTCCATGCCCAAGGCCAGCCCCTGACTAGTATCCCTTTTACAGGATATACTAAGCATAAATACTAGATGCCGTTATAGAGATAAAGAATATATTTAGTCTTCATTGTTCGAGGTATTGTAATTATATAACTAGTGCGGAATAGTAAGGCGCTTATTTAGATGATCATCACTCAAGGCATGATAAAGACTAATGCTGCAATTAATATGCCATAAATACACCTAAAGGGAATACATTTACAGGAAACTATACGTGATAGCGACATGATGCAGCGATACAGTGGCTAAAGGGACGCTAGTGGAAATAGTGTTCTCTAGCTAAATGCAAGTGAAAAGACTATAAAATTAAAATTGGCTACTAGTACAAATCGGAAGAATGACGAAACTCCCAAGAAGCATCTCATGTCTTATACAGTGTCTATTCCAAACTCAGTTTGACCTTGAAACAGGTAATTCACCACCTACTTCTAGTTGGGCATGTTCTTAAATAATTATATTGAACGAGTTAACGAAATCAAACATCGTGAATAGCGTACAAGTGAACAATAATGACTAGACACATTAGGTATAAGTAAGCAGCTTTGGATAATTTACAGAGAGAACTCTATACATCATCTACTACAATATTAAATACCTATAGCAAGTACCTCACGTAGTACAACTTACCAGAGGCCCGCCTTCCCTTCCTCCGTAGATCCCCCACTATTGACGTCTTATGGCGCTTCGGGATTCTGGGCGTCTCAACAAAATCTTGCATAGGTACTAAAGAAATCCTTGGACTTCTTCTCAACGCGCCTATTTCGTACGTACGTATTATGCTCAACGAGCCCGATGCCTCATAAAGCTCGTATAGCCCAACATCTTCTTTCATTGACAAGACAAACTCTTTACTCGGGCAACTTTCAACGTATCCGCTGTTTTTCAAGGTCCTCGGCCTTGAGCACCGACGGTTGGCACGCCATGTCGCAGACTGAAATGTCCAAGTACCTAAAGCAGACGCACGACCGTGTGTTCGAGCACAACCGTGCCTGGGCGGAGGAGCAGAAGAAGAAGGATCCCGAGTTCTTCGATAAGCTATCCGCAGGGCAAACCCCGGAGTATCTGTGGATAGGATGCAGCGATTCGCGAATTCCAGCTGAGCAGATCACAGGTTTGGGTCCAGGAGAGGCGTTTATTCACCGCAACATTGCCAACCTAGTCGTCAACACCGATCTTAACGTCATGAGCGTCATCAACTACGCGGTCCGCCATTTGCAGGTCAAGCATATTGTAGTGTGTGGACACTATGGTTGCGGCGGTGTTAAGGCTGCTATGACGCCGAAGGACCTAGGGCTGCTTAACCCGTGGCTGAGGAACATCCGAGACGTTTACCGCCTACACGAAAAAGAGCTAGATGAAATTAAGGATGAGAACGAGCGCTACAATCGCCTAGTAGAGCTGAGCGTCGTTGAGCAGTGTCGCAACGTTATCAAGACGGCAGCTGTTCAGAAGTCATATGCTAAAAACCAGTTTCCTATCGTCCACGGATGGGTATTCGGATTTGAGGACGGTTTGCTCAAGGATCTGAAGGTCGATCATGAAGAGATGCTGCGCGGTATCCAGAAGATTTACAACCTCACGGAGTGATTGGTCCTCCATGGCAAAAGGACGGCATGCGGTATCATCTTTTTATTAATTGGGGTAACAGCGCCAGTCCGACCCGCCTTGTTTGAGCATTATGCTCATGTAGCTATAAAAGAGTCCGTAGAGCCCCGCGGCCATCTAAACAATGTTTAAAAACTTATAAATGACATGGATGTCTCTTCATTATACATCTGACTCCTTATTCTTAGCTCCGACCCACGACTCTACCTAATACGTGCGTGTCTAGGTTCGTCAGAGTATGCAAACCCAGCCCGTTTGTGTCATACATCCCGGGCAGTCCATGCTGGCCTATTAAATCATTGGCCTACGCGTCAATGCTACGCGTCAATGCCGTGTTACATTCCTGTTGTGCATTTCTGACTGATGGTTAAACCATTTCGCGGCGGTGGCTTGCCATTACAGATGGCTTACGCTTAGGTCCTCGTGAGCCCTCGTGAGCCTTAGTAAATCGTAGGCGATATATATCTATAATAACTTCGTCAAGTGAAAAGGCGACCTCACTCGGCTCCGTTCGTATCGCCGTTGTCAGATTCCCAGAATCCATGCTCGAAGCTCTTGTTCTGCCTAAAGGCAAACCGTTCCCAACTCACGCCTCTTCTGACCTTCACGCCATCATCGTTAGTTTCGTACCGCCGCGGCTCGAAATCCATCACGGCGCGCCAGTTGCGAATCATCCGCCGCCAATAGCAAGCCTCGGCAGCCGGTGTGAGATAGCGATCTCGGAATACTTTCGCAGACTCTTTCGCGATCCGTCGTGCTCGATCGGGATCCGCCATGAGTCCATCCATCTGCGCTTTCAAGTCCGACCAATCACGTTTTACTTTGACATAATTCTAGCCAGCCATGTTAGTTGAGTTCCGCAGCAATCAGAAGACCAAGGAAGCATACCTGACGAGGCCCGCTGTCTTTCAAAAGAGGCTGGTAGTGGAAGATGTAATTTAGTTGATGAATTATCGGGACGCTTTCGCAATTCTGTAGATATCGCAGTCGTCCACTCCACGAATTACCTTCGGTGTGGGCAACATATTTAAAACGACAAAACTCTTTCATAGCCATGATATTCGAGCGGTTATGCCAATCGATAGGTTCGACATCGTTCCAATCGTAACCTTTCGAAGCCTCTACCAAGGCGGTTCGTAGCTTACGATTCACAGCCAGACTCCCACGCCAGCATAATTTGTCCTCTTTATCATCCCAGCCGTTGGCATATTGAGCTTCCAGCTCCGTCGCATCCTCGCGGAACTGCACGTAGGACCCTACACCATCGTCGGGATAGCTCCATCCGTCGAAGTCGGGCATAACCCATAACCACTCATTATCTTCTTCGCGCGCCCAGGTCCATCTGATACGCTCCTCATTCTTTTCCCCTCTGGTTGCTCTGTCTTCAATATCGATGATGAATTCGACATTCGGAAGTGACCGAGGATCAGGGATAGCAGTTATAGCGCGATACATGTTTGCGAGAGCTGCGAGGCCGCGGGAGCGATCCGGTTCGCCTTTCTTCTCCTTTATTACGTATAGTTCGCCATTCGAAATCATAACGTGGAATTCGCCGTGCGAGAGACCGGTATAATCTTTCTTTGCGTCGATCTGGACGTCAGACTCCTTGACTCGTTTATTTTGCTCTAGAAGAAAATCTCGGGCGCGGTCGAGTTCTTGGTATAGATCAGGGAATGCATTCTGCGATATGATGAGCGCCGATATACTTCCAACAACCAAAAATCCTAGATCGGTATTTACCTCGCATTTGCTGTCGGAAAGCCCATAATTAAGACTATCCCTTTTCACATCAAACGTCCAAGATTCGTCATCAGGCGGCGAAGGTATCGGGTCGGTTGGTTGCTCGACGGGTTCTCGAAGCGACTCCTCGATGGGCTCCCCGAATGATTGCTCGATAGGAATCTCGAAGGTTCGCCTAACGTTGCCGAAGAATGATAAGACAGTCACTATAAAGACGATGGCTAGAATCGGCCAGCGAAGGCGACGCAAGCGCGCCATGAAGGACTCGCCCTGCTGACTACAAGAAAAAAAAGACTTATTGGCATACATTGTTAAAACGAACGTAAATAATAAACTATAAGAGCAGTGTAGTGGTACACCGCCAAGGCGGGAAAGGAATGCGTACCGTCAAGAGGCGAGGCGGAATAATCGTTAGAAAATCATCACATCGAAGGCGACGAAAGGAAGTCGCTCATTTTAATAGTCTTTGTTTTTTCATCGTTTTGTGTTACCGTCTCACCGTGTTACCCAATTTCTGACCTGATACATGTATTAGTAAAATAAGTGAATGCAGGAAATACTACGAAGATAATAAAAGATAATAAAAAGATAGCAACGCTGATACGGCCGAGATGGGAATGGTAATGGTATCATCGGTATCATCGGTATCATCGGTATCATTTCGTACCGCCGCGTCTGCAAACAATTAAAGAGTTTGCGGTTCCGACGGCAACTTAACCCCTGTCCAGCCCTGTCACCATATCTAAATAAAAGGGGTACCCTAGCCAAATATGGTGATCGGATACCGGGAATAAGCTTAATCTGGGTTCTTCGATACCACTATAATTACCTTCTGTTCTTATCTTTACTATCTCCCCGTTGGCCGATTGTCTTAAGACATATGGTTCCAGCATCAATCGAGATCTATATACATCTATGAGACTGTCAATCAGACTGTATTATATTAAAGAGGTAAATACCTGTTTTTAAATATTTAACACATGAATAGGGCCAACAGTATATACATACACTTGATTGATAAACTCTTTACTTCTATCTATTAATTAAATATACACCTCCATATTGTTTTATAAGTTCCAAGGTTGCCCTCCCCCTTTTCCCCTCAAAATGTTCCCATCATTTTAAATACCATAAGCTTGATGATTCTACCAGGGCCCGACCTGACCTTCTTTGGGTTTATGCGCGTCATCAAAAGCTTATATCTCAATGACAACATGGACCAAATTCCCGCTCACCGTGATATTAAGTAGGCTGTAGATTCCTAAAACTTCGTCCAAGATTAATTCAAGTTACTAGTTACATAGACAGTGATATTCAATATTCACCATATAATGTACATTCCTAATCGAACTCATGAAGTGTCTAGACCAAGCACTGAATGTTAAAATGGCAGCTCATTTATGCGGTTGTCGACGCACTGCTACGCTGCATTGGTTATTATTTGAAATTACTGTGAAGCTAGCCACCATTACTTTGGTGCTCAGCGCCTACCTCACTCGGTGTTGCGAGTGAGAGTCAGATTAGGCGAGCCTGTCATGATGATTTATTCTCCTATATTGAAGTGATTAGGTCTAGGCTGATCTATTCGTGTAAGCATATGGTCGCAGCTATTGGGTGGCGCTGCTGAATTATCATATATCATAGGAGCCAAGCCTAGCCACGCCCCGTTGGCTGCAACCATCTTGCATTTTTCTTCAGCTGAATGCTATCAGTTATACGATAGATCGAGCAGACCTCGGACGCCCGGCTCACATACACGAGATAAGGAGAAAAATGAAGCAAGCAAAAGAAAAGCCACACCGTCAACAAACAACAAAAGTATTTCTAGTCGGTTAAGCGTGCGATATCTTAACTACGTACAAGCTATTTCTCAGTTCATGATTTCTATTTAATCAGGATTTAATATATTAACTACCATTTGTAAACTATTTGTTAACTACTGGCTAGATATATAAAGTTTGACAGTTCCAGTAGTAACAGTGCAACCAAGTTTCAAGCCAAAATCAAGTGTTGCAGTAGGACTAAACCATCCGGTCGTCTGCTCATCTAACTTTTTCCAACCGGCTATGCATCACTCCTATGCTCTGCTAATTGCATTTACCTCCCTTGCTATCGCTCAGACACGGTCATCTAAACGTGGGCTGATATATATTCCGAAGCCTGCCAATCCGGCAGATGATCAAGTATGGGTTCGGTCAGGATCTGATCTGACTTGGTACTACAATTATGAGTCGGAGCCGTCATCTGCCTTTAATGACATACCCCAAGACCAGTTCGAATTTGTCCCCATGCTTTGGGGCGCTATCGACGACACTTCCTTCCTCGAATCTGTTGAGAGCCAGATCGACTCCGGTCGTAAGATTACGCACGTCCTCAGTTTCAACGAACCTGATTCCCAGTACGATGGCGGTAGTAATGTTGATCCCTCGAAAGCCGCAGATGTGTGGGTAAAGAATATAGAGCCTCTCGCTGATAAGGGGGTGAAACTGGGATTGCCGTCCTGCACTGGGGGTTGGGGAGGAATACCGTGGCTCGAACAGTTTCTCGGGAATTGCTCTGAACTAATTAGCACCGAAGATGATAAAAAGAACTGTACGTACGACTTCGTGAACATACATTGGTATGGGAACTTTGAAGGGCTGGCGAGTCATATGGGCTCTTATGCTGCTGCATTTCCAAATATAACTCAATGGATTACCGAGTACAATTTCGACAACCAAGACCTCGCCACGACCCAGGCGTTCTACAACACATCATCCGAGTATTTTGATCGTGTGGATTTCGTCGGCCGTTACAGTTTATTTGGCTCTTTCCGGTCTAGCGATAGTAACGTTGGTCCTAATGCCGCCATGTTAAACAACGACGGACAGCTTACAGATATCGGCTCGTGGTATTTGGGTATGAGTAGCACGAACGTCGACCCTCAGTCGGGAGCAGGGAGAACTCATATAACCGTGGCAAGTGCTGTGGTTTTTATATTGGCCGGCGGGATTTCCTTTATACTGTAACACCGAAGCTCTCCTTTGTTAAACCTTGGGACCTTTTAGAGATTGAGACGAGCATGTAGGAGGGGTTTCTTGTTATCTACGTCAGCGTGTTCGATGAGTCAGTTAAGAGCTTGACCTGACTTGGACCTGACCTGACCTGGCCTGGGTAGATCGTAAATATTTTTTATTTGTGTAACAAATACGTATATTAAAGGTATACGTATATATTTTTAATGCTATGTGATTGGTGTATTTATTGTGGCTGATGTGGCGAAGGCCGTGGCTTTATAAGGGCTTTCAGGTCAGTTTAGGGATACGGCCAGGTAAGCCTTACTTGTCAATATACCTGACCTGACCTGTATAAGGTCAAGTTTGTACGTTTATTTGACCTGACTCGGCTCATCGAACACGCTGATCTACGTATGTATACTTTAAATGTTTAATTACATGGCAGGAAATCCTTCTCAATTTGAGGATTAATCGACCACTATTTTGTAGTAAAGTTACAAGCCTGTGAGCTAGGTTTCTCCTTATTGTCGGGACTCATCAATGTTATAAGACTTTTGATTTTGATTCATAACTCGTTCAAACCAGTGACCGGGGGAACAATACATCATATCCGGATTAAAACAGCCATGCTTCTTTGCCGAGTTGTCTACGGATAAGAAAACTAAACATGGCAGGCCCCAGAGACAAGATAACCTGCCAGGGTGCTATTCTCCGGGGAATAGAACTAAGTAATTCGTAACCGTTAGTTTCTTTATGCTGCTAAGTCACTTTAAGTTAGACTTTGGGACTTGAACTTATTTCGCCCATCTCTAAACTACTATGTATTATCACAAATATATGAGATATGGCCTTAAGACCGATGAAGATGATAAAAGGTAGAAAATGCTTTATGGTACCGAGATCAGACGTTTATGATTACCTCTAAAGGATAAAATGATCTACATATGGTCTTTACCCCAGACTTTCAGAAGTAGGAGGATGCATCCAGTAGGTACCTTCGTAAAGTATCTTATACATGAGCAAAAGTAAAACGTGCGGGTAAGATTAGCTTCTCCCCGCAGTACCATAATAACAACCCCAGGGTATCAGGTACGGAGTCAGGGACCCCACCGACATATCTGCCGATGGCCGAAGTGACCGAATCAGGCCTCGGCAAAATGCAACAAACACATCCCCTGTATTCCTTGTAACCCCCTGTAACTAACCTCGATTAAACCTTTTCGACCCTTTGGAGTTTCTCGTCTGCGGCGCAATCCATCCATTTATTAGTTCTTTATCAACACCAGACAATGCCAGTCGCCATCAATTTAAGCTAGTAATATTCCTTTCCCATTCTTACCACATTCCTCAGTTATTTCACTCATCAGATAGTATATACCAATTAGTATATATTTCCATCTGTCAAGACCATCTTTCAAGATGGCTACCGAGCGGGTCAATTCCATTTTGAAGCACCTGTCCCCTAGCTCACCTTTAGCTACCATGTAAGTAGAAGAAGAGCGTTGGATTAACCTGACAGATAGAAGCAGAGTCATTGTAACTAACCTTGCTCGTTAATCTAGCACCTCAAAGAACCCCGACGATGTAGTCATCACGCTCGCGATCCGGACGCCGCTTTGTAAAGGCAAGAAGGGCGGCTTCAAGGATACGTCCGTCGAGTACCTCATGTATGCCATCTTGAAGGCCACTCGAGAACGTCTAGGATTCTCACCAGATCTCGTAGAGGATATCTGCATGGGTAATGTATGTACCAATATTTACTACTCGCTAAGAGGCAACCGTTTTAACTCGTTTCTTCCCATGTAGGTCTCGGACAGCAAAGCAGCCTACAAGGCCCGTGCCGCGGCCCTCGCTGCCGGATTCCCCAATACGACGAGCGCCTCATCCGTAAACCGATTTTGCTCCTCTGGTCTAAAGGCCACAGCCGATATTGCCAACCAAATCTCTGCAGGCTCGATCGAGGTCGGTATCGCTGCTGGTACCGAGTCCATGACTGTGGGAGGCGATAGTCTTGAACAACCTTTCGACGAAGAAGTGACTAAGCATAGCCAAGAAGCCATCGACTGTATGATGGCCATGGGCTGGACGAGTGAGAATGTGGCAAAGGATTTTGGGTTGTCCCGTGAGGTTGTCGATGAGTATGCGGCCGAGAGTTTCAGGCGGGCTGAGCTGGCTCAAAAGGCTGGCTTTTTCGACGATGAGATCGTGCCTATCACTACCAAAGTGAAGGGGCCCGACGGTGAGCTGAAGACGGTTACTTTAACGAAAGATGAAGGTATTCGACCGGGGACGACGGCTGCTGGGTTGGGCAAAATCCGGAATGCATTCCCTCAATGGGGTCCCATCACCACCGGAGGCAATGCCAGCCAGGTCACCGACGGCGCCGCGGCAGTAGTGCTCATGAAACGTTCAAAGGCCACTGAGCTCGGTTTGCCGATCATGGCCAAATACGTCGGGTCGACTGTTGCGGGTCTGGCTCCTAGGATCATGGGTATCGGTCCAACCGTAGCGATCCCAAAGTTACTTAAGCAGCACAACATTACTCTCGATGATGTTGACGTTGTAGAGATTAATGAGGCGTTCGGAACAATGGCCGTCTACTGCAGGGAATACCTCAAATTGGACTGGGCCAAGATGAATCCTCGAGGAGGCGCCATCGCGCTTGGTCACCCTCTCGGCACGACAGGCGCCCGGCAGATCGTCACTGGTCTAAGCGAGCTTAGGCGGACCAAAAAGAAGATTCTGTTGACGAGTATGTGCATCGGAACGGGAATGGGCATGGCTGGCCTATTCGTTAACGAGCAATGATACCCGTACCCGGCGGATACCTTGGATTTTTAGATGAGCTCACAATAGGATAAGAAGCGCTGGAATTAGATGTTATTCCTATTCACAATCGATCTGTGTATATGTAATTAAATTCCAGTATACGCACCATGTCGCTTTGCCATATCATGTGCGGCTTATAACCAAACTTGGACTAGAATCTTCTTACTAGATAGTATTATGTGATATAATAGCAAGGAATTCAAATCTCAAGATACAAACACACCTGTTACCTGCTAAAGTGTTACTTTATCGTGGGGATCATTATTGGTAAGGGGTATCGATCAAGCCTTATTATTTCTACTACATAGGATTACTAGTATCATTACATTCGATCCAACAGCATTCGGAACCTACATATGCGAGTCTCCTAAATCGCTTATAGAAGTTTAGCAAAGGCCCAATTGATGTCAGTATCGTGAGGCTTCTTTAAACCGCCCTTCAGCCAACAGGTGTGCTGGGTCCCCGTATCGCCCTCAATATAGCCCCAACCGCAACCCGTGCACCCAGCAGTCCCGGCACAGTTTTTCATGCAGTCCAATATACTCTCCGTAGGGACCTGGCGCAGATTTGTTGATTCGTTGTCGCTATAATCTATACCGCAGATTCGTAAGAATCGCTTATCGGAACCAGGAACTTGGTATGTAGTCCCGTTAGCGGCCGGGCAGTCAATTTTTCCCTCGGCATTACCGGTAGGGGTGGAACTCGATGAGGTACTGGTCTTCGAGGGGCTAGAGGTGGACGTCGTCGAGATACCAGTAGTTGTAGAAGTGATTGAGCTTGAAGATAGGCTAGAAAATATTAATATAGGTAAGCATGGATATACTTAAGCTGTTCCTCTACAGCGACAAATTAAGGCATCACGAACCTTGACGATGAAGCGGCACCTACACTGACGCCAGCAACAGCAGCCTCATTAGAACTTTGCGATACTCCTCTACCGACCCCAACACCAACCCCGACCCCGATTGCAACAACTAATAAGAGCGATATTAATGCCACCAGCCACCAGAATTGGGTTTTCTTCAACCCTATTATTTTCTTCTCTCCTGAAGGCGTCTTTCCACTGAGCGGGGAAGGAAGTCTATCTCCTCCAGCAGAGGGCCCTTCGTCGGAGGGTCGCGGGCTGCTAGGGGGTGTCGCATCGCCTAACCACGTGGACGGTAGGCGTTGACGCCTTTCGGAATTGGCAGAAGGCGCAAAATAGGCCCGCGACGCATTCTTCAGCTCGTTAAAGTCGCGATTAGCGAAGAAATCGAAGCCGCGAAACTCCAATGGTGATGACTTATCCGCCTCCCATTTCCCTGCTCCTGTGGTTGTATTCGTCGTTACTACCGCTCGTGGTGCTTTTTCTGCTTCTGTGGTGACCTTGTGTCCGTCTTGGGTAGCTGAGGGTGGCTTCGGACGGCCTGGAACGGTAGTAGTGGCCAGTTGGTCGGACGGCGCCATTAGAGTCGTTTATCGTCGAAATTGACCATTACCGAGAAGTAGACATTATATTACTATAAGCTTTACAAAGAGGGACTAGAGCTTAAAGCAATTGAAACGATCGGACGGCAGCAAATATGCTTGCCTATTATGACAGTACCTATGCAATAGCGAGCGGAAATGGGGGGAGTACGGGGGATGAGGTGGGATTCCGAAGGATTGTTATCACTGCTGTATTTAGACGTCGCTTTAATATTAAGGGGGTCTAGCCAACAGTACGTAACAATAATTAGCTATACCCCATTCATACAGCCAAGAGCATCTTGATATTATGTAGTAGTTGCGCATGTAAATGTAGTCGTTGACTTTATATTCATCAGTTTTGCTTTCTAGCAGATTTTCATCCAAGTTCGCCTTCTTTACACTTACAACATATACGGTACACACACCCTCAAGTAAAATATCTCTTACAAATTATGAAGATATATTTGAAGATATATTTAAGAACATAAAAGTAACACGTTATAAGTATTCCATGCTACCCCTTGGTTGTTACACTAGAAGAGACGAGGCTAGAACATCTTTAGCTATAGCCGAGCTTTGGCGTCAGTTTACTAACACTAGATCGAAGAGCTAGAGTTAACTAATATGCCTACCTTCATTAGATCGTCTCATGCTTAATGAGGACATTGGCGAAGGGTTGAAATGTACCCTTTGTAAATGTTCTGTTCAGAGTCTCCTAAATTACATTCACAATGAAGAGGGTTCTTATTTTCCAGTCTCGATTTCTACGAAGCTCGTATCGATGACAATGAATATACCTTGAGTAAAGTATTAAGAATATAGTACTACCTATTTATTGGTAATACTCCTACTAATAAATATACGGCAATAAAGTAAAAGAGTTAAGAGAAACCTACCTAGGTAAAGTTGACTTATAGCAAGCAGATTGAAGTTGCAATACATTCAAGTAGGTGAGAAGAAGGGTGTTAGCCAGTCCATAACTGCATGACCAAGGCTAGCAAGCTTGAAATAATCGTGTAAAATAAATAAATTAGTTGGATATCAATAAATAATCTCGACCTTTTCTTGTCTTCTCATCATAAAGAATGTCATCATAAAGAATGAAAATAAAACTCTCGCGTACCTAAGTACTTCCGATAAAAACTTTTGCTGGAATCGTCTTGATTGGTCAAAATTTAATATCGATTTGTGCATGTGCATCTACTACTATGTACATAATGTGGATACGTTGCGCAGGTACTCTTCATGCAAGTTTAAGATAAAGTTACAATTGGAGAAATGTTCGTCTCCAGCTACGTGTTATTTGATATCACTACTTTTATCGTTATCTACATGTACCTAACTTACCTACATGTAGGTACCTGACTGCTATCTTACATCACTGCTATTTTACTTTACATCAATTCCTACCTGATCTTTGAAGAAGGGAGAATAAACCTCTAACTACACATAAAGCTGCTGATAACTTCTGTCAAAATGGTATTACTCCTTTCAAATTGCTTACCTGCGACTCTATAGCATACTTCCACTTATTAACATCTCGTAGAATACGCAATTCAACTCTGCGCTCAAGCAGTCCACTTCTATAAAACGAGATCTTGCTGGTCTATCGTCATCCGATGGCGCACCTCCTACACCCGCTGCGCTTGGTTCTCTCTCCGCGTCGCTGACGGCTTTTTCGCGAACTCTCGACGAGTACAATGCGCTGGCAAAGCAAGAACTGAATCCTGCAAAACAAGAAAAGGCTTATGAGCGGATTAAGAATTTTCGAGCGGAGCTATCTTCGTTCCGGACACAGCTAGACGAACTAAAGACGCAACGAGAAGATACGCTACACACTCAAAACCGAACTGAGCTTCTTGGTCGACGACCCTTTACCACCTCCACCCCCGAAAACCCGTACGCAAACACGCCGACACCACCGCAGTCTTCATCTTCCCCTTCGGTTCCCGCGAACCGCTATGGCAGTGGTGGCCAGTTAAGCATGGGTAGTAACGACTATACGCGGGAGACGCACGCTTTGCGGGAGCAGAACTTTTTCGCGAGTACGAATACAGCGCTTGATGAGTATATCGCGCGAGGGCAGGCCGTACTCGGGGACCTAGGTACGCAGCGTGAGATGTTAAAGAATACGCAGAAGAGATTATACAGTGTCGCCAACACGCTCGGTGTTAGTGGGGACACGATACGCATGATCGAGAGAAGAGCGAAACAAGATAAGTGGATCTTTGGCGCCGGCGTGATAACCTTCTTTGGGTTTTGTTGGCTGTGTCTACATTTTCTCCGATAGGATGGACAAGTAGACGTTTAGCAAGATGAAATTTTGAGGATCAAGAACATTGGAGAGGCATGAATCGTGAGTTTATGCATTAGTTTTGACGTTTAGCATGGAGTTTTGGCGTTATTCTAAACTATTTAGATAGGTTCTATGCCTTTGGCGGTTAGGTTATCTGCCTTCTTGTCTCTGCCTCTTCCTCTAACGAAAGAAGCAGAACTTCTAATGTATATATATATCCCGAAACCGGAAGATATGCTTTAGTTATGGCGATAATCTATCACATCCTGTTGCTATCCGAGACTTCGTTCATTCGTGAACAGCCTACGAATACACAATGCAGGTTGTTGATGAATTTCTACCTTCGGCCCTATTTTAAGGCGATGGTGAAAAGTACATCCTTCGTAGTCTCAACTTCAACAACTTTTGTATCGGGTAAAAGATGATTGCTTGTACTCATCTGCCCGCCAAATTCGGTTGGCCAATTCTCGACGTCCCACTCAAGGCCCTTGGTGGTGATTACGCTTGGCTCTTTGACCGGGATGATGCCGACGTACTTGGCAAACGGCTCGCCGCTCATACGAACGAAGTCGCCAACGGTGGCGTCAGGCTCGCGGACGTGTATACGATGCTTTCCGGCCTTGAGAAGGAAAGACAAGCTCTCTCCAGAAAGGAGAAACATCTTTCCATCTGCGTAGGTTGGCGAAGTTTGGAATAAGTATAGATGATGTATTTGGCTTAATCCTTGATCAACGCGCCCTCCCAGTCCGCCCATACATACGATATCTCTCTTTGGAAATGCTGTTCGAACGAACTTGACAGCTTTAGTGAAGTCGGTAGAATACTGATCTGGATCGTGAATGATAGTACAATCCGCGGGCTTGGTAGTAAAAAAGCTTCTAGACTCGTCGGATAGAGAATCTAGGTCGCCAATTATGGTATTAAGATTTACCTATACGACTGTTAGCAAGTAACAGCCCAAGTGAAAGAGAATCGTAGCTAAGAGCCTTGGAATATATATCTCTTGTATCTTTCCACTTACATAGTTGCACCTAGCAGAAGACGCAGAATCTTTCTTTGTTAATAAAGATCTTCGGTTAAGATCGTAAATCTGGTTGGCACCCCCATCGGCAGCAACGCGTGTTTGAGCTGCGATATAAGTTGGTATGGTTACACGCAAGAAGAATCTTTCAGGGTGGTGTACCTATTCTCCAGAGGTCTCTAAACAAGCCCTCATCGCTGATCGGCTGGTTTAGAATGACCAGAGAGAAGTTATACCCCGGATAAGATAAGAACTGTCTGATGGGATACCACTCGGTGCATATATTAGGGCTTTCTTGTGTCGAGCCCATGCTTATAGATTTATAAGAGGCCACCGAAAGGCTTCCTTGCTGATGGGAACCTGACCGAATGCTTACACTGGTGACGAGTTTTTAAAAATGAGGTCAAACACGAAATTTAAGTTTACTGATTCGATAGGAACAGTATCTCGATATTGATCTCTAGGTAGCCTGGGATCTTTCAAACTATAAAGTAGGTAGATGGTAGAACGTGATGAGCTGTTTGTGTTAGGTGGGTAAGAAAAGAGGATAATATCTCAAAAATATAGGATGAAAGAGAGATATGAAGAAATTCTGAAACTAACCAAATTTATTCTACAATAATATCAATAATATCGAATAATAATGTTTATAGGAAATCACGATGAGTTTCATTTCATATTTTTAGTAAAAACTTAAAAGTGATAATTATAATATACTTTTATCCAACTCAATTAAGATATACTGACTTTTATTCACATGCAAGCAAGGTACTTAGGTACTAATGTATTACCAAATAACGTCACTTCAATGAGGCTAGACAGATACGCATTAACCCTACATAGGTACAGATTAGGTACATAATCTAGATTTACCTCATAAGGCACCTGCAGTTAAGTGGTTAGATGTAACCCCACCTTGAATTTTGGTGCGCAGAGGTTTCTCGGTCATCGGTCATCGGTCATCGTAGATCGATCCTTATCTGGATTCAATTCAAAAATTTAGAAGCGGGTAATTCTTAATATCGATGCTTCATGCTTACAAATTAGTCTTCAAAATCAGTCTTCGCTATTTGTTCCCAATTTGTTTTCCGCGCATATTTCTTCTCACTCATCAAACCGGCTTAGGAGCTTAAAACGCTCTTTAATATCCATTCCTCATTCTTTTAGCCGCTTCTTTTACATATAGCTCGCCGGTAACATGTACAGATCCGCCTTGCGATCTGCGCCTCGAGTCGCAAATAGACTGCGACCAACTATCGTTTCGCCGAATGCACGACGCTTTGCTTCGACTTCCCCTACGAATAATAAACGAAGTTGGAAGAGCTCGGCTGCGAGATGGGGTCTAGCTGCTGGTATTATGTATTGGTATAGTACCAGTGCAGTCTTTGCCGAAGAACCACTGTGTATGCGAGCCCAATTCCTCTAACGTGATTCAACATTTTCCTGTCTTTATTAACATCTCATGCGGGCTATTAGCTAAAACATTACCACCGCCACCCCAGTTCTCAGATGAGGACCTCCCTACAGTAGAGGCCGTAGTCGCGCAGAAGCGTCGAGAAGCCGAAGCACGACTGCGGAAAGCCGCATCTACCGAACCACCGACAGCTACCCTACCATCCGAAATATCTCCTTCTGCGCCTGCTAAAGATGTCGAGACGCAAGATCGAACTGCCTACCCGGATGGAAGCCCCGAAGCTTTGGAAGAAGAGGCCGGTCAACAGGGGGCGTTCAACCCGGAAACGGGCGAGATTAATTGGGACTGCCCTTGTTTAGGAGGGATGGCTCATGGACCCTGCGGCGAAGAATTCAAGGCGGCGTTTAGCTGTTTTGTCTACTCCAAGGAGGAGCCGAAAGGGATGGACTGCATTGATAAATTCCAGTACGACCTCTTTTTGGTATATATAAGGATATGCGCCGTATTAAGCTAACATATAAAACAGACACATGCAAGACTGCTTTCGACTTCATCCCGAGGTATACGGAGAGGAACTAGATGAGGACGAAGCTCCCGCAGAAGGTACTCCTGAGATTGCAACGGATAATTCCGCCGCCAAGACATCTCATGGTGAAAATGGTGTGGTAGCGAAAGTAGAAGAGACGATACCAGCCAAAAAGTCAGCTAAGGCAGATGCGGAGACCTCAGAGGTGGTAAAGGAGGCTGAGAAGCAGAACGTCCCTCCGGCGCAACCCTAATAAGAGGTATAGACCTGGAGTACTTCGGGTATTTGACGTACTTGAGTATGGTCTCAAAAAATAGATATCTGGAGCCGTGCATTTTGTACAACATAATACTGGTTGCGTTATCGTAACTACTAAGTGTATATTATAGGGCGCATGAGATACGGCGAAATGAACCAAGCAACTCTCTTAACATAAGTTCTTTTTTATTTTTATTTTTATTTTTTCAAACTTTTTTTTTAAACTTGTTTTCTTTTTCTTTTCTCAAGATATCTATCCTACTCTCAGCCTTAATCTGGGGTTGTGGATTCATTTACCGTGGATTGCACGTGTAAGTGGCCCAGCATTTAGAGGCCGGGGCTTGCGACAGGGAACCCTGGATTTTTGTTGTGTTCTCGGTCTTTTTATTTTCGATGCGATGATCAAATAGGTATGGAGTGCGAAGGCCGTGCTGACACCTGGGGTAATCTCCACACAGTCTATAAGATGTTAAGTTAATGGATTATCATGTACATATGTAGTATAAGTTCCCCTGCTCACCTCCAACTCCAGCTCCTGACTCCAACTTTACCTACCTTTAGATCCAATATCTCGTCTCTCATCCCTTTACTTCAACACAAACGAAACCTGATTGTAAACCTCATTCTTACGAAATACCCAAAAGCCCTATTTAGGCCTACTAGATTAACCCAGATACAGGTTACTACTTCTTACAAACACCCTACGTATGGGACATGACAGCATCACATGAAGGAGATAAAATCCGTCAAGCTAGCTCTTCGACGAACGATACTTGTCAAACTCGTATTAGTATCGCCGAAGAGGACCATATAGTTTCCATAGCCCCGCCACGAGCCAAGAGGACACAGGTTGCCCGAGCCTGCCAGAGATGCAGAAGGCTACAGAAAGCCTGCAGCGACTCTCGCCCGTGTCGACGGTGTACCAAGGCTGGGCTTGCTGATGAATGCAGCGGATTTCCCGTCCAATCCCGAAGTCTAACCCGGGCCCGACCTACTAAAACGCCAAGGCTTGCTAAGATACCTGTAGAAGGAGGTGTAAAGTCGTTGGATTTTGCTACGTCTTCGCCATTTATCAACTTTGACCTGCCTACAAGTCCGCAGGCATTTACTAGTTTTGCAAGGCAGTCGTTTGAGAGAAAGGCGGACCTTCTACCACCTCGAGTAGTCGAGTACTGTTCTAAACGTTTCTTCGAACGTCTCGCCCCGACGATCCCGATCGTGACGCCCGAGTACGTCGCCAATCTTAGAACGCGACTAGCCTCGGATAGTGAAGCCTACTGCGTTCTACTTGGCTTGTGCGCTATGGTGACGTTGCAGGTTGAGGATCCTAGGAGTAAGCCTTTTGGGCATTGTGTTACAGCTGAGAATAATGCCGCATACGGCTGGATGCTGCTCGAGGAGGCTCTAGCAGCCCACCGTCATCTTACACGGAGATCGAACCCATCTCTAGATTCGGTTCTACTCGTGTTTTTTATATACGCGTGCCACGCAAGTTTATTCCACCATTCTCAAGCCTTCTTCTTCCTCCGCGAAGCCGCCACACTCTTCATCCTAATCAAGCCAGAGACCTTAGATGATCTTTCGAAGCTGCTAGCCGAGAGACTTTTCTGGGTTCTGCTCATTTCTGAGAGGTCTCATGCGATCCGTTACCGGCGCCCCTCTACGCTTCAAGTAACTACCAACGGCTTCGGGTTATCATTCTCCAGGGACCGTGAATCCTCGCTAGCTGGTTTCCGGTGTTTAGCTGCTCTCTTTCGTTCCCTAGATACCAATTTCATAACTCTGCTCAACCAAGAGTCAGCTCCAGGTGCAGTTCCTGTTAACTCATTTGACGAAGCCGAGTCAGCCATCAACGCGGCGTTGAACCATACGTGTCCATCTGACCTTCTCCCCAACGCAAAAGGCCAATCTCAGGGTCACGCAACTATGGCTCCGCATTGTGCTCTGGCAGTTACGATTGCGTTTAGGTCACCTCTCGGAGCAGAATATGCGGAGTAGCCGCACTTATCACTATCCGCTAGATGTAGCAAAGGATCTAGCACTTTCGACCCGTGATTTACCTGTGCACAGCATCCAGGTACACGGAGTAGGCATAACGGAGAAGCTGTTCGATATATCCTGCGCCGTGGTTAACGTCCTCGCACGCGTACCCATACAGATAACTAGGACAGCGGCAGAAAACGACTTAAAGTATCTAAGACGGCTCATCCTGCAACTTCCTGGCGGTGCAACAGTCTACGACGCTTTGCTTTTAAAACATATTCAACAGACGTTACCCACAATGGCAGCTAGCATAGAAATATAGCTACCTTAACTATATTTATATCACATAAGTCTCCAGATGAGATGAAGCAAGAAATCCAAATCTTAGAGAGCTACACTCTTGATAACGCCGAGATTTAAAAGCCGCTACATACTTTTTGTTGACATATTAACTACCATACACTGAGTGGCTATTCAATCTAACTCAGCACCTGCAGTTATGCATAGTCTATCTCCTTCCCCTGCTGCCCTAGCTTCCCGTCTGTGGATACCCTCTTGATAGCATTGTTACCCTGTTGCGAGAATGGGTCTATCTTTGTCTTGGAAAAGCTGCGTGCTGAAACGTGATGCTCGAAGAGTAGGTCCAATTCGGCGTATGTTCGTCCTAAAACGTAGGGAATAATATCAGTATTAATCCAATCTGGTACAAATCGATACCATACGGCATATAATATAAAATATATCATACCTTTAGGTTCAGGCAGTCGAAAAAATACCCAAACGGAGGATATCAAACAAGTCCCTGCCCAAAAAAACGCAGTTTTTGCACCCCAATTCCAGGCTGTGGATGAGAGTTGATAATTGGTCATGACATTCACGAAGATGTTGCTTGCGTTGTAAGCAACACGGGCGAGGACAATCGTTTTAGCCTTAAGCCGTGTCGAGGATAACTCTGAGATCAGAGAATATGTGACGGGTCCGACCGTGAAGTCGTAAACGAATGTGAATACAATCAACATCCCGCCAATCGCCCACACGGAGCTATTCGTCCCAGCAAACGAGAGAGAACCGACGATGATCAAAATGAGAAGCTGACAGCAGAGTCCGCTAAAGTGGATGGTACGCCGACCCATTCGAGACACTTGGGCAACAAGAGTCAGCAATGTCCAATTTTACTACGTCAGAAAGTAAGGAAGTAATTGTAGATAGCACATACTGAGGAACCAGGAGCCGGCTGTGCCGACCATACCCAATGCGTATTGTCCCATAGAAAGAGAGAAGGAGTTGGAAGCGTCCAATCCTGCCTGGGTTCTGCAACATGTCAACTCCAATTCCGAGCTATCTCGACTGTATTAGATCGTGATGAGGATTGGGACCTTACAGGAAGTAGGGAAAATAACCCATAAGGTTTTGACCTCCGAGGGTCTGCACGAGCCAGATGCCGACGACGATTTCGGTCCTTCGCAAGTCAATCCCCTTGAAGCAGTCTCGATAGGTGAGGCCTTGCTTCATCTTCTTCTCAAGTTCATTCGTATGTTCAATCATAGCGATGGTCTCGTCCGCGTTGAAACTCGAGTCGTTTGGCGATGTTAATCTTAACAAAGATTCCCTAGCCGCCTCCCGATTGCCCTTTCGAATATACCACCACGGAGATCTAGTTGCTAGGTTAAATATATGTAATAATTTTGTGGTTTTTAGCTTGATAACTCACTCGGGGGCGAATACCAAGCCGGCAAGAATAGGCACAGGCCAGACCCATTGAACTCCAAATGGAATCCTGTATGCCCATTCGTCAAGGCGACCAACAGACCCTTTGTTCACGGCAGCTGCGAAGAATTGGCCAATCACCCAACACATGTTAATAAATGTTGTCAGGTATGGCCTAAGGACGATGGGGCGACTTCAGACGCATATGCTGGAGCAACGGACTGAAAAGCACCCCAGGGGATACCTAGTTATTGTCAGCCTTAGAAAAGCGTAAAAAAGCCGAGTCGAGTAGTACTCACCGCATAGTACTTCACCTATAACAAGCACTTGTACATTGGGGGCGAAGAATAGAACGAATATGAACATGATCATCAACATTAAAAACCCGATCGTTGTGATCTTATACCCATAACGGTCCGATGTCCAACCAGCAAGGATAAGACCGAGGATCTCGCCGGCACGTGCGCCGTTGGATAATCCTGACTGCCACGCAGCAGACAATACCCATTTGTCCTTTTCCTCGCTGTAAGTACCGAATTTCTTGTTAAACACCGGTGAGGCATAGAGGCTACTTAGTAGCGCCAAGTCGTAGCCTTCCATGATGAGCGTGGATGAAACCAAAACAGACCAAGCGATAGCCTTCGGGTAGAGCTTGATAGCCTCGAGAAGTGACATTTTCTGCTCAACATCCGCAGCATGCTTAGCCTCCGAGACATGTGCTTCGTCATGTAGTAAGTCCTTGCCCTCGACTTGCTTATTATCCATCCCTATTGTATACGCATCTTCTTTTTCGGTTGCCATATCTTCTACTAATAAAAAACTTCTTTGCTGATTTGACGAAGATAGCCTCCTTTCTTAGTTGAAGGATGTTCTTGTTGTAGGTGTAAGGGGTTTGTGACTTGGTAGGTTGAGAGTACTGCAAGCAAGGACGCCATCGTGTCTATTTATTCCCTCTCCGAAAGGGAACCCAGCCTTGTAGCCCTCTATTAAATGAATTGGGGTCTATTTAATTTCTCAATGGTCTAGCTCCGTGTGGAGAATGGAACTACGGTCCAGCTCGTGCGGGGTGAAGCCGGGGGAACTGGGGCGGTCTCGAGATATCATCCCATCGCTATATCATTAGTCTTTTAAGACCGAAGTGTAATGTTAAAGAACAGGGGAGAGTTAATGTGGATTGGAGTTCTGGCGGAGTCTTTACGTCCTGATTGGGTTAACCACTATAGGAGAAGAAAGGTGAGAAGTCGGAGTTGGGCGGAGATGGGCGGAGTTTTGCAACACCTGACACGAGATCTTCTTGGCGAATGGTATCCCACCGCTGAAGAAATATATCCCTAATTCGGACGACAGCGGTTCAATGCGGCTAACTTGGATGTGAACACCATTTAGTCAAACTTGACCCGACGGTGCGGACTCGATCCAAGTATAGAAAAGATTTACTTTATGCACAGCACCACTCTATGCCGTTGTCGGCCACAAATGTACAGGTACTGTCTTGTCTAATGGATGGCCAAGTTTACCTAATTTCTCTTCTCCTCCCAAGACCTCGCGTAATTTTTTTTCCTGCAGAGCGGAGTTGTCTCACACATACAGAAACAACATGAATGGTTTATATCATAAAAATGGGTGGTTTGGCAAAGAGCCGTGGTGGAAAGATGCTACTTTCTATCAAGTGTATCCGGCAAGCTTTAAGGATTCCAATGGCGACGGTTGGGGAGATATTCCGGGACTTGTCTCTAAAATCGAATATCTCAATGAACTGGGCGTCGACGTGGTATGGCTTTCACCGGTTTTTGAGAGCCCCCAGGCCGATATGGGCTACGACGTGTCAGACTACCAGAAGATTTATGCGCCCTATGGTACCATTGACGACGTGGATGAACTAATAAAAGCATGTCATGCTCGAAATATGAAGTTGATTCTAGACTTGGTGGTGAACCACACTTCTATTGAGCACGAATGGTTTAAAGAGTCTCGTTCGTCGAAGACCAACCCAAAGCGCGATTGGTACATCTGGAAACCAGCGCGATATGATATAAAGGGACAGCGGGTTCCGCCGACAAATTGGCGAAGTTACTTTGCTGGCTCTACTTGGACTTGGGACGAGCATACTGAGGAGTATTATCTCCATCTATACGCGCCTGATCAGCCGGACTTAAACTGGGAATCGGAGGCGTGCCGCGAAGCTATCTACCAGAACACTATGCGCTTCTGGCTTGAACGAGGTGTTGACGGGTTCAGGATCGATACTGTTAATAATATAGCAAGCGCACCGAGTACGTGGATGCGCCAGTTACAGATCCAGACTCGCCATATCAGCCAGCGCCAGAGATGTGGTGTAATGGACCAAGAATCCACGAGTTCATCCACGAGATGCGGACCAAAGCGCTCGCGCCCTATGGGGCCGTCTCTGTCGGAGAGCTTTCTAACACGCCGGACCCAGGTCAAGTTTTGCCATACGTGTCGGCAGCAGCGCAGGAACTTGACATGGTCTTTGAGTTCTCCATGATTCGATTAGGTACTGGGGGAATGTTTGGACCAAAGTATATATATATGCCGTTTACCCTACAGCAACTGAAAAAAATCGTAGCAAAATGGCAGACATTCATCGAAGGCACAGACAGCTGGACGACTGTCTTCTGCGAGAACCATGATAACGGACGAGCCGTGAGCCGGTTCGGCGACTGTTCAACGCCGGAGTTGTGGGAGGCGAGTGCGAAAACCATAGCTCTCTGGCAAGCTACATTAACAGGGACGCTGTTCTTATACCAAGGCCAAGAAATTGGCATGACAAACATGCCGACCACTTGGGGAATAGAAGAGTACAAAGATGTTGAGAGTCTCAACTTCTATGCCGAGGCATTAGCATCTGGGGACCAGAAGATAATAGCAGACACTATGCGGGGTCTGCGTATTCTTGCTCGCGATCATTCGCGTATTCCTTTTCAATGGGACGACTCTCCGAATGCAGGGTTTTCAGACAAAAGTGTCAAGACTTGGATGCGTGTTCACGACGCTTATCCAGAGCTTAATGTCAAGAAGCAAATATCAGACCCTAATTCCATCTTGAGTTTCTACAAGATGATCTTAAAGCTGCGCAAGAAATATAAGGATATATTCGTCTTGGGAGCTTTCCGGCTACTGAAAGATGATGATGAGGCAATATTCTCATACGTGAAGGAAAGCCCCTTTCGAATCTCAGATTTACAAGCGTCGACAAACGGATATTCTGTCAGCGGGCGCGAGAATAAGAGAATGGCGGTAGTGGTTATGAACTTTTCCAGAGATGAACGGGATTGCCTAGACGTTAGGAAGATACTGGGTTGTAGCGACGAGGATACGGCTAGATTACTAGTGAGTACGCAATATGAAGACAATAAGGGCTCGGTTCTTGGGAAGGATACTATACCGATTGCTTTAAAACCTTGGGAAGGGCGCGTCTACATCAATTTCAACTTGAATGATGTCGTATAAGCATATAGACGAAAGGGGAATAAGAGACCAATAAGTACATAATAAAGAAGAGCAATGAGTATTGAGTACAGAAGGTTACCGAAAGTTATATAGAGAAACTAGATTCTTCAATTTTATAGATAGGTTAGTTAGGTTAGGTACCTAGGTAGTTATTTCACTCATTTAGAAGCATTAGTTTGAAAATATCAAGGGGAAAAGAATGGTTTTTCTTATAAGACCTTCAATTACGGAATGATGGTGGTTATATAATTATATGGTAAAATGATATGCAATTAAAAATTCATCCAAGTCCCCGCCTGTTTTCGTGCATATATGCAAGTGAATGGAGCCGCGAATACGTCATTCGATTATGTACATGGACCGGGGTTAGGCAGGGCAAGCACAATCGTCACGATCATTTGCTCATATTGTCACGGAATACATTAGGTTAGGTACATTAGGTACATACAATATCTGCCACCTTCCAAGGCTCTTTTTTTCATTGTCGCATTGCTTCTTCTTCACCTTTTCATAACATCAGACCACACATCATCAACCCATTCATTCGATTCGACCTCAATATTACTAGTTATCAATACTATTCCGTGTTAGTACTTCTTGTTCTGCGACGCAACTTATTGAGTCATTGTTAACTCACATTTTACTACTAGCAACCTCGATAACGTAGATCAAGAGTAAGATCCCATACTTCAGCATCGCTTGTCTAAAAGATGGAGCAGGATGTACGAGGATGAATACATAAATACCTAAAGCTAACATGAACCTTCTATTATAGTGTCGTATGCTGCCGCAGCTGCGTCTGGTCCTAGACAAACACCCGAAGAGGTAAGTCAATATCCCTCTAGAAGATTGATATATGATTCAGGTAACTAACATAATTATTCTTCAAGGCTGCAGCTCCTCAACCTCCCGAGATCATATCTTCTGAGTCCGCAAGCACCTCATCCCTTGTCGACGTCGATACGCCTTCGGTGCGCACCGTACCCTCCGACTTCGGGGAACAGGAGATCCAGACTGAGACTCAAGCTACTCGTCAAGAACAAGAGGATGCTGCCGAGCGCGCGCGTGCTGAGGCTCATCTAGCTAAGAAGAAGGGTACCGGGAAAGCACGAAAAGCTGATAGCATTCTCACCCAGTGGTTTGCCAATTTAAGCGATAATGCTAGTACAGCCCTCGTCGTCTCCAATCTGGCTGCCGTTGTAGGACTTAGCGCGTACTTAGGCTTCAAGGCTTGGGGTTTGTATGAGCGCGGACGCCTAGGTTGGAAGAGCGTTGGTATTGGTGCGGGTATCGTGACTGGTGTTGGTCTGATAGAAGGAATTCTTGGAGGGTAAGTGATTATTTTTCTTCGATTATTTATATATTTGCAGTCTAGTTCGTAAACTAACTATTCGCAGATATCTCTACAGGGGTAAGAAGAAGCAGTCATAAGCGAGTTCATGCTGCGGTATACCACAGTTGACGATCTTCACGCGTTATGAGGTTGCGGAGTAATGAATACTGGCAGCCAATAGCACTCTACTCGTGATTTCATAAAGGTCTCGTTGTACCTAGTATACTTCTCATTACATAAATTCGAAGTACCACATGGGTTGTCACAACTATCTGCTATTGCTCGAGTTTTAGGTTAGGCACTCTTTCACCTAATTCAGGGCGGATATGTTTTTCGTCAAAACCTTCTGCGTTAGGATAATTGCTTTGGCGTTGCTTTTCACATTAAGCAACATCCACCATTCGACTCAGTTAAAGCGTTTTACCTTTTACTATATATATAGCTTGAGGAGTATATAACCGCAATATTTGAATTAATGAGTGATCTTTCAAGATATGTATTTCATGCTCGTCAACCAGAATTTAGTTCCTTTTCTCCCAGGCTACCTACCTATATAGCAGAGCTTGTTGATGAAATAGTAAGGATGATGTGGTACCGTTTATCTCATGCTGTGAACATGCCAACTCTCTGAAATTTATCGCTTATAAGAGTACTCTTTGAGCATTATATCAAAATACCTTCCAATAGTTTATTAATATAAACACCTTCCTCTATTACTGTCTTCAGATATTTATAAAAAGGTGTTGTGTAGAACTATTTCCTTCATATGCGAGTTTCTTTTATACTCTCACGACAATTAATGTCCGAGTCTTCGGGAAGTAAGGCTATGTGTTGTTGAGCCCGTGTCCGATCCGGTTCGGCCGAGAATGTTGAAACCGATGTCTATGGTGGATCATCGGTGCCCACAGGGCGGGTTTATTTCTCGGCTACTCCGAAAGTGCTCAGCTAAATCAGCATAATAATTTAGCATCGAGATGTGATCAAGAAACCCGCGTTGTTCCCAGTAGTATCCGGAAATAAACCGCGTGGCTAAATCTAAACCAATTGCCTAACCAGAGGAAAATCCATCACAACTTGTCATTTATGTACTAATGTACAGGGCGTATAAGCGACATATAGGGCGGTCTGAACCTTCATGGTCACATTGCTACTGTATAGACCTTAGTCATCAAGTGCCATAAACATCTTGATCTATGGAGTATTCTTGAGTAGATAGATAGAACCATGGTATGTTCGGATGTAGCATCAAAATTGGTGTTACATTCTTAGTCATGGGGCATACATTATTGGTGCCTCACGTAAGTCCTGTGGGACATAGGGGTACTGGATTCGCTCGTTCGTAAACCCATATCACGAACTATGTCTATACAACGTTAGATATAAGAGTTAATATCGATGATTATACAACCAAACAAGATCTTGTACGAAATAAGTGATACATCTAATTTAGAGCCTCATAGTTGATTTTACTTTAACCATTTTAGAAAAAAAAAATACAGCAACGCTAGAACGTGTTGCTCCTATGTAACTTCGTAGCCTAGGTGCGTAGGTAGGGTAGGCGTATTTGTAATTGCCCATTCCCGAGATTCGGATATAGGTCATGACAGTATTTTCCTTTGCTGGAACCAAAGTACAACCATTACACCACATGGCAGGCTGCGGAAATAGCGGATACTTATCCCATCACGGTTGGGACGGATGATGTGTTATATGCTATGGCCTACTCAGTACTCCACCTAACCGAGGATGTGTTCTCTACTCATTTGACTATATAAACCTAGGTGCTGCTCTCGCCCTATCTTCCGAGAATGTTGGTAATAATATCCTATTTATGTCCTAGCCAACACTGCTGAGTTAATCACAACCTAAAGAAGGGAGGCGAGTTTGAGTTGTTATACTCATATCCTTCGTGACACAAGCATAGGAGGAGAGGCGAGCTTTCGAATAACTATTCGAAACATACAACATGGTAGACACAGAGGCAGACGGTCTCAAGCTGGATCAACGTCGCAAGTATCGGCTAGTTCCCAATATAATCGACGATATAGCGAGGGTAGATCCTGAGAGAGGCGTTCCTTGTGCCGCGCTCCGACAACCCCAAAGATGGATGGAAGTCCATTACGTTTAAAGATTATGCGAACGCCATAAACCACATCGCGCACAGGATCGTTGATACATGCGGCACCCCATCGCAGGGTTCCTTCCCTACGATAGCCTATGTCGGTCCAAACGACGCTCGTTATGTCATATTACTAGTTGGCGCCGTCAAAGCTGGCTATAAGGTAATATTCCTCATAAATATTGGTCATCTAGAAATAACAGTATTTTAGGCTTTGTTTATATCTCCCCGTAATTCTCTCGAGGGGCAGCTAAGTTTATTTGATAAGACGGACTGCCAATTTCTCGCTTTTGCAAAGCCGCTACGAGGATTAGTCCGTCCATGGCTGCAAGAACGCGAAATGAAGGCGATCGAAGTAGACCCCGTCGAAGATTGGTTCCCTGAGCAAGATGTCGAACATTTCCCCTACGAGAAGACCTTTGAGCAAGCTGAATGGGATCCGTTGGTAGTTCTTCATACCAGCGGAAGTACTGGAATCCCGAAGCCGGTTGTCATCAAGCATGGTCTGATAGCTATGAATGATATTCATCATGAATTGCCTACCTTTGGTAACGGGTTTGAACCTTGGTTTCGAGGACTTGCAAAGGCATCACGCAAAAATTTTGTACCGAGTAAGCTAACTACCTAGATTCCCAAAGCATATAGTTCGATTTGCTGATAAGTCTCAAGTGCCCCTTTTCCACGCGGCGGAATATATCTCTTCATCTACTGCGTATTATACTTTGACATCCCGATCGCCTTAGGTATCAGTGATCGACCCTTATCAATTGACTTGGTCGTCGAATGTATCGATAATCTGGATGTTGAGGGAGTTATGCTTCCGCCAGCGATGTTGGAAGAGATGAGCCAAAATGACGAATGGATTCGACCACTGATGAAGCTTAAGATTGTTATTTTCGGTGGAGGTTAGTGATTCATGCCCGAAAACAATTCTACTTCTGCCAGATAGGGCTAATTGCAGCAGGAAATCTTAATAAAGAGGCTGGGGACAGATTAGTCAAGAATGGAGTAAGACTTGTTAATGTGATCGGTGCTACTGAGTAAGTCTACTTGCGGCTTGGGGCTAATTTTAGTATCCAAACACGTCTAACAATCTTAGATATACGATAATTCAGATGTACTTCCAACCGAACCCTGAGCTCTGGCAATATTTCATATTAAATTCCGATATACTCGGAGCGGACTGGCGCAAGATCGAAGGTACCGAGGACGTCTATCGACTAGTCTTTGTCCGACAAGATAAATATCCAGGTCTTCAGGGTATTTTCTATACTTTTCCGGAAGCCGACGAGTTTGACACTGGGGACATGTACAAGCCCATCCAACTCTCCCGAATCATTGGATATACTACGGAAGGTCTGACAACATCATTGTGTTTTCTAACGGAGAAAAGCTTAATCCGGTGACCATCGAGGAAATTGTCGTCGATCATCCCGGAATCAAGGGCGCTTTGGTAGTCGGTTCAGACCATTTTCAAGCTGGTCTCCTTCTTGAGCCTGTGATAAATCCTAAAAACGATCAAGAAGCCGAGCAGCTGCTTGAGAGTGTCTGGCCGTATGTTGCTAAAGCAAATATTGTAACCGCCACCTACGGACAGATAGCACGCCAGTTCATCGCATTAGCTAGCCCAGATAAGCCGTTTCACCGCGCTGGTAAGGGAACTGTACAACGAGCAGCTACGCTGAAGTTGTATAAGGAAGAGATCGATAAACTTTACGAAGATGCGGACAAAGCTTTCGATGAAGTTGCTCCCCAGATGGATATGAATTCCGAGGACACGCTGGCAGAATCTATAAAGGAGATATTCGGAACTATGCTTGGATCTAAAGGGGAATTCGAACTAGACACGGACTTTTTCTCGGCTGGGATTGACTCTTTACAGGTTATCAATGCTGCCCGACTCCTCCATAACGGACTGGAAGCTTCAGGTTTCCACGTCGACGCAGCGAAGGTACCCGCTCGTGCTATTTATGGCAATCCCACACCACGAAGACTTGCTCGATATATCTATTCTATCGTGAAAGAAGACGACAATGGGAATACTGAGAGAAGTCAGGACCATGAACTTCAGGCAATGAAATCTCTTTGAAGAAGAAGTATACAGAAAATATTCCGACGAAGAAGGAAGGAAGACTTGACCCTGAAGATGAGAACCAGACGGTACTCCTTACCGGATCTACAGGGATGTTAGGATCTTACATGCTGGATCTCCTTGTGAAGAGTCCATCTGTGAAGAAAGTTATCTGTTTGAACAGAGCTGAGGATGGTGGTATCAAACGTCAGGGACAAGCTGCCAAAGACCGAGGTCTTAGTGCCGATTTTACATCAAAGGCCGAATTCTTACATGCTGATATGTCACGCCCGGACTTTGGACTTCCTCCCGACGTATATAATCGGCTGCTAAACGAAGCGGACCGCTTTATTCATAATGCGTGGCCAGTTAACTTTAATATTCCTGTTGAATCCTTCGAGCCTCATATTCGAGGTGTCCGGAATGTTGCTGATTTCGCGACCAACTCATCTAAGCGCGTGGCTGTCGTGTTTATATCGTCCATCGGCACTGCGGACAATTGGGATGGTAAAAAGGGGAAGATACCGGAACAAAGGCTTGAAGATCTAGGGCTGGCAGGGGGAGGCTACGGGCGTAGCAAGATGGTGGCGAGCCTTATTCTAGAAGATGTTGCGAAAGTAGGTGATTTTCCAGCTGCGGTAATCCGAGTCGGCCAAATCGCCGGGCCCGAGTCAGAGGCAGGCTGTTGGAATAAACACGAATGGCTTCCTTCTATTATTGCGAGCAGTTTATACCTCGGAGTTCTTCCAGTTCATCTCGGAATTATGGACCGCGTGGACTGGACACCAGCTGAAAGTATTGCGAACTTGGTTCTCGAGGTCGCCGGGGTGTCCCAGAAGGTTGCCGCTCAGGATATCACTGGTTATTATCACGGCGTTAATCCCTCGGTCACATCGTGGGCAAACCTTGCTCCAGCTGTCCAAGAATTCTACGGGAAAGATCGTATTTCGGAACTCATTAGCTTTAAGGACTGGGTTGACCGACTAGAGCAGAGCCATACCGGCGATGCTCAAGATATAGACAAGAACCCGGGTGTTAAACTAATAGATTCATATCGAGGGATGGCAGGCGCTTACGATGCAGGCCAGAAGCCCTTTATTTTCGATATGAAGCATACGATCGAGCGTAGCACAACTATGAAGTCGGCTAAGTCAATTACACCTGAGTTGATGAAACATTGGTGTAAGCAATGGGGTTTCTAAGGTGTAGTTGTCTAGCAATTAGAGTTAGGAGGGATTTGTATTTATTCTTTGAGTACCTGGGTAAGTAGTTATATAGGATGCTCTGAAGACCTATATAGAATGAACAATTAGACGTTGAATTAGAAAATTGATGATACGTGACACTACATCTTAAGTTATTTACCACTGAATAAATAATACCATTATACCTCTTCAAGGCATTGGTAAAATCGTGACTTGATCCAAGAAACTTATATATTACAGAATTGGTCGGAAATGGATAGGGGTTGATGGGTTATTTTAACTATTTCTTGCTTTGAGGATAAGTGTTTTATATTATATTAGAGGAGACAAGATTGGAAGTTATGCTGTAGAGTAAAAGCGATGAGGACCTCAAGTGTGAAGTGTGGCTGGCTCAAATACTGCATCTAAGTACCTACCTAAGGGGTTAGGTACCGGGCACACATGTATGTACCTGGGCTGCCTGTGGCTAAGTAGGTACTTCCTGAGGTACCTACATACATGTATGTACCCAAGTAAACTTTGCCCCGTACCTGACACCTGGCAGATGGGTTATACTTTTCCCTCTCCAGCTGCCTAGGAAACTCTACTGTCCACCCTGAAATTTCGACAAGCGGAAAGAAAAAAAAAATTAAGGAATTTCCAAGTCGTCACCAGAGAAAAACTCAACACGCCTTACAACCCACCGCATCTTGCAGAGCAGAACAACAACTTCATCTGTACTTTATTATACGAAATAGCTTTACGAAGCAGAACCGGCTATTGTTACGCAATCCTCCGACAAGTTATTTTCATGAAACGTATTGTTCATTTGATACTCGTAACTCGTATTCCGTATTTCGAAAGTATTCACAACCGAACCGCATTAACAGCCGCATCTGCATCTGCATCCGCATCCACATCTACATCCACATTCATATTCACATTCGCGTATGCATAAGCCCTAGGCACCTTGCTTTACACTTTCGTCGCGAAACAGCGACACTAACTAATAAATCAGACTGGAACACGCCTGAATCTTCAATCCTCTTTTAAGTCGTCTCGAATTTCCAAAAGTTCAACACGCCACTTCCCGATTATTACTATCGGTTATATTTCTTGAATACAAGGTTGCAGCCCCGTAACCGTGACAATGCCCTCAAATCTCCCTTCAAGTTTCGCCTCAGCAGCAGCTGGTCAGAACTCAAGCCGTGATACAAGATCAGGTGCTCGAAGTGATGGTCGAGGGAATAATACTAGCGGGGAATGGTACGTTGTGTTATTGCTACTACTACTACTATTACTCTATTACTATTAGATATATTGGATTGCCTTAACAGAAAGATGATACCCCTTTCTTAGGTCTAGGCCAGGACGATCAACCAACGGTGGCACTCTAACTTTCCGTCGAATATCAACTACGCCCTCGAGCCAGTCGCTCATAGCCAGATGCAAAATTCCGAAACCATTCAGTCAGCCTCTGCTGACCCTGCCGTTATTTCTGCCATGCCGGTTGGCTCTACCAATTTCGACAACTCGGGCACTCTTAGATACTCGCGAGACCAGCTCCTCTCTATTTTCAGCGTCGTCCACGAGTCCAATCCTCAACGACCCGATGTCTCGGCTCTTTTCGCGCCCGGATGGACCCCGGGACATATTAATGGTACGACATCTCGAGGCTGGGGTAAGACTGCTGAGTCCCACGTCGCCCCTCAGGAGCCAGATATCTGTTGGGATGCACCAGGATCGACAACAGCTGTCGGCTTGCAGGAGATGAGCCCGGACGAGAAAGAAGTAAGTCGCGACCCTAAGCCTTGACCGTCGAAATAAGTCATCTCGTGAACTAATTTTTGAAATAGTTGTTTGCGTCCGACGTAAATTCTACTGTAAAGCCCCCGGCTCAAAATAAGGATGGGACTCACCCGGGAGGAGGGGTAAACGGTCGGAAGGCTTCCCTTTCTCACGGAAGTACAAATAATTTCGGACTCGCCTCACCTTCTACTACGTCGAGACCTGGCACAAGACGACGTGAAACTACCGATACGAATCCATATTCCGGTGGCGGTGGCTTAACTTCTCCGACATCCGCAACGCGCCCATCTCGGGATGAAGCGTCATTCTGGTTTGGCCGAAAGAATGTGGACTCGAAGGATTCAACTTTTGAGGAGCCTGAAGAGGATACTAGTGCGAGAGAGGCTCCTGCTAAATCTCTGCCTTTTGGTAATCTAATACGTAACAACACGACTCCGGGTAGCTCAGGTTTTGGAGGAGTATCTCCCTGGCAGACGTCGGCCCCGACCACCTTGCCTGGCATAGGTAGTTTCGGGAATTTCGCGCTTCCCGGATCTACAATTGGGGAGAAGCGAGTTGGAAATCCTCGTGGCGAAAGCCGCTTAGCGCACTTGATTCCTAAGGAAAGCTCCGATAGTATTGGTACTAAAGTAGGTGAAGGTGCTACTCCGGATGCCAACCGTCTTTGGCGCCCACGCCAGCGCACCGATACGGACCCTTTCGGCGAAGACAGCGTCTCGGGGAGTGCTATTCTAGGAGGCGCTCAAGATACGAGTCCTCCACCAATGTCTCATCCACCTCTCCATACCTCGTACGATACACCGGTGAAAGGATCTACTAGTGATTTCGGAATGTCTAGTCTCAACTTGGGGGGACACCCGGAACATGAACAGGCACCTTTAAGTCCGTCGGAAACGAATCCTTATAGGAGCCCCCCCGGCGAACGAAATGAGCACGAGGACGTGGGGGACAGACAGCACGGCCCAACTGGTATCACCGACCATGTCTCAGGCTACGGCGGGGGTCTACCACGCTCGTTTGCCCATGCTACGTTTGATGGTAGCGATCGTAGCCAGACATCCAGCGTTGGTGCGAAGGCCTACCCGCCGTTGAGTAATCTGACTAGTTGGCCATCTTCGAGTACGCCAGACCGCGAGCGTGCTCCCTTCACAGGCTTTGGCGGCTCGCTTTTCGGCACTGTTGGAGACTTGCAGTCCCCAAGCCTCGGTAATCTAGGCGGCGTGTTTGGTGCCGCAAGCACGACTGGCTTTGGTGGTTCCGGATCTTTTGGTCGAGCAAGCAAGCTCGGTTCTCTATTTCCTCCAGCTATGCAGGCGCAGATGCAAAGCCAGGACAATGAAAGCCTTAGCGACTCGATACCGGACCTTCGTCAGCCTAATCCATTAGGTGCTATCGGCCGTACTGCCCCCGGCGATCATGGCCGCGAAACTGATAGCCCTATGCGAACCGGTAGGGGAATCTTTGCCGACATGTTTGCTCAGGCCGAGACTAGTCGCACGCCAGTCAATTCTGAAAGTCTGCATGGTATCTCGGCTGCTCCTCATAGCCAGAATTTTACGGCGACTAGCAATGTACCATCCTATGCCGCCAGCCAGACGTCCGAACCTCCCTCTGTCCAATCTCGCACTATGGTTATGCCCGATCGTATGAGATGGGTTTATCTAGATCCGCAAGGTCAGCAACAGGGTCCATTTACAGGGTTGGAGATGAACGACTGGTATAAGGCCAATTTCTTCACGCCTGATCTCCGTGTTAAAAAACTAGAGGATTCGGAATTCGAGCCTCTGGGCCAATTGATTAGGCGTATTGGCAACTCTCGCGAGCCATTTCTTGTTCCTCAGATCGGTATACCTCATGGTCCGCCATCTCAGACTGGTCCTTTCTCTAACTCGGGTGGCGTGATACAGCCGCCTCTCGTTAATGCCTTTCCTAGTTTTGGTAGGACCTTGACAGCAAAAGCAGAACAATCTCGAGAGACGCAAACAAGAAGAGCAATATTTGATGGCTCGCCATCGTGAATATTATGCAACCCAGCAGTCAATGGGCCGAGTTCCAATGCCCGGTGTCCCGGGGTTGCATCATCATTCCAGCGCCCACAGCCTCCAAAGTCAACCGAGTTTTGGTAGCATCACATCGCCTATCACGATGCCCCCTCAACCTCCCATCGGTGCCATTGGAACATCAGGCTCTTTTTTCGACGCGCCAGCTACACATCAAGCCGCCGTACAAGGTAGTTCTGGACAGGGACTAGAAATGTTCAGAGAGGACGACCTCGCTCGTCTGTCAGGACCAGAACGCCAGATGTTGGCTGGCCTCCACGGTACGGGGGCGATAGGCGGCAACCTTCCACCACAACCCATTGGCGTGCCCACTTCGGAAGTAGGTGTGCGCAGCCAGCTCCCTAACACTAATGAACTCAGCGAAGATGGAGAAGGCTTTCGAGGACGCTTGCAGGAATTCGAAAAGCTTAGGGCACAACACGATGCCGAAATGGCGGGACGACAAGCGTCACCTCTTCGTAATAAGTCTAACGAGCAGGCTCCGCAAATGAGCTCACCCACACATCTTATGGAGCCCGAATCGGCTTCTGAACAATCCCCCGGCGGAGAGGCTTCCCGCCATCAAGTTGAGGATGACCAGTCGGCTGTCTTAGCAAAGCAATATCAACACAAGGCTCAACTGCTGCAGTCGCCGCAAAAATCAGCGGGCTCCCAATGCCTTTCCCACCACCTCCCTCTGCTACCCCCTTACCTGCTCCTGCTCCACAGCGTGTCAAATCTAATTTACCAGAGCAATACGCTACAAGTTCTCGATCTGGAACACCTGACATCACGCCATCGTCGGCTGCGGCTCAACCGCCGCCGCTTGCCCCGTGGGCCAAGGACGGCGGGTTAGAATCACATAAAGGGCCCAGCCTCAAAGAGATTCAGCAGGCAGAAGCTCAGAAGGCGGCCAAGGCGGAGGAGGCTGCGGCTCTTGCCCGACGTGCTCTGCTTGAACAAGAGGCAGCTCGAGAACGAGAGAAGGTCGTGCTGCTCCAGGTCTACCTACAAGCAGCACGTGGGGAACCGCGTCCCCTGTCAATCCTAGTACGGCTAGTAGCCCCTGGGCAAAGCCGGCCCCGGGGAAGACACCGGCGGCTGGACCTACGGCTCAGGCGCAAATCTCAGACAAGAAGAAGACATTGGCCGATATCCAACGCGAAGAGGAAGCTCGCAAGCAGAAAGCGAAAGAAGTAGCCTCACAGGCCGGACCCGTATCTAGCGTCGGAAAGCGATACGCTGATCTCGCCAGCAAACCCAACGTTATCTCTGCCCCTAATCCAGTACCTAGTGCCAATACATCTGGGTGGGCTACAGTTGGAGCTGGGGGTAAAGTGAAGGCACCAACCGGCCCTTCTTCACAGGTACGACCTCCGAGTGCTTCTAAGCCAGCGGCTACCATTGCGACCCCCCCATCACGGCCCGCTGTCAAGGCCTCGAATTCTACGGCCGGCCCTGCCCACACGGAAGCTATGGAAGAGTTTACCAAATGGCTTCACGGTCAGTTGGCTAAAGGAATCACAGGTGTTACGGACAGTAAGTTAAAACATATAAACGACATTAATGATAACACTACTAACAAGGATGCGCAATAGTCGAAGCTTTCGCCAACACGTTGATAGGGTTCCCTCTTGCGGGCGATCTTATCTCGGATGCTATATATGCCAATTCCAAACGATGGACGGACGTCACTTTGCCGAGGAGTTTATTCGGCGCAAGAAGTTGGCCGATAAGGGTAGTAGAGAAGCAGCCGGCCAAAGCCCATCTACAGACACGCAATCAAGCACAGCAGGTGGTTGGAATGAGGTAGCCAAGAAGAGCAGCTACAAAGAGACCACTAGTGATGCCAGTTTGATGCAAGGTGCTGGCTTCAAGGTCGTACCCGGCCGAAAGAAGGGGAAGAAATAAAGCAAACCTGTAGCAGATGTGGCGTACGGATATCGACCAGAGAGGTGGGCCTGTAATGAATGATATTTGATGAAGCCCTCGACTTTAAATATCGTCTGTGTATACCGACTATTGCGAAGATGGACAAGGGGAATTGTGCTTTCAGATAGCTTCACGATGCAAACTGCAACTCTTAGCACCAAGGTTGCTCAAGCTCGGTGTTCAAGGATTTTGCTATCGTCTACTCAAATAGTGTTAAATGAAGAGATGAAATGATGATACCTGGAGAAACCTTTTTTTTTCTCACTTTGTAATGTTTTTATGAGATCCTACCTAATGGACTAATTTCTGTAAATGTTCCCCTAGTGCCTAGGTACCTGTTAAAGGGGTAAAGTACGGAATAGTAAGGGCAAAGCCTGGCGTTCACTAATAGCACCGCACAGACCACCTGACGTCAAATGATAAGTAAAGGTCAAAATTTAAAAGGAAAAAAAAAAAAAGAGAGAAAAAAATGCCAAGATTGCCCCTCCCCCCCATCGATTACATCGCATTCTACATTTACTATCAAATCCTTTTCTATTCCGTAATGCGACTCATATTTGTAAACGTCTTAACGATGTTTATCATTTGAAATATTTTCTACTCTCCACCGGATTATGAAGTTAATATCTTATACTACGCATGATTATTTTAATTTCACCGTCATTTCCATTCTAAATTGGGCAAATACAATTACAACTACTCTATGCTATAAGCCTTAAAAGCTCGATACACTGATACAGGGGAACACCGATACATTAGGTCAAACTAGGTTCAAGATGGTAGACAACGAGTTCTCACCCGATGCACTCATCTCGATCGAGAGATCTTTTGAGAATTCTTCTTTCCTTGAACCATTTGATATTGAGCCAGCACAGAGTATAATAACCCTATTTGTCCAACATATAGTGGCACAATCGCCCGAGAAGCAAATCAAATCGGGTTTCGATGAGAAATCTCACGTTGCTACTGAGACAACCCGCCTTGGTCTAGCTTCTCTAGGGGCTTTCTTACAAGCAAATGTTACAGGCCCAGTTCTCCAAGGTTTTAACTCAGTTGAAGCTATTTTTATTTCGGCTTTCGACAAGGAAAGTCTCTTGCTAAATCAAGCAATGGCACGAAGTCGGTAGACCCAGACCTGTCTATAACGTCTTTGAGGAGGTTATGTCTCAGCTGGCTTGAGGTGGACGGCGTTTCTCCGTATCCCTACATACCTCATATAGAGCTCTTCTGCTTGTCAAGATTCATCTTCACAACAGGCCTTGTATTACCAACTGAGTTACCTGAAGTCTGGTCAGATTCGCATAATTCTATCTCGCTACATCTCTCCTGGACCCGACTGAGGATTCACCTCTGGCATTATAAACTTATCACCCAACCTTCGTTAGGGTCCGGTTCTTTGTTCACCAAAAGCGGCCGCTGGACAGACGTGCCAACCCTCCAGGAGATTATTGAAAAAAGTATACTAGAAGCCGACATTTCTGTGACTGGACCGGCAGAAACAGGCCAAGTCTCGGAAAAGTCACAATGGCCTCTAGCGTCTCATATTCAATATTTTCTAGAAAAAGCAGCCTGTCATATATTACTTGGTAATGATACAAAAGCTCGAGAGGCCCTGAACTTAGCCACGAAGATTAGTGGCTTTTCTTACGCTCTTTCTGGAGCCCCTGGAAAGCGTACACGATTTCAAGAGAATAACATCAGTCAACTTGTAGTACTTGCCAAAAGCCACGCCCTACCTCCCACAGTACCTGAACAACACTACGCCTCTAACGCCACACCTATTGCGCTCCCCCTAAATGATGATACTTTATTAGAGAACATCAAGTTTGATAACCATGGATCCGATAGTCAAGCTTCATTTCTTCCAGTTGAATTACAGGATATTAAACCGGACGAACAACCGCAGCTTCTTCCGGAGGACCACATCATTCTTTTAACAGAAGCAACTATAAGGGATACCTTTTCACCTGCTGATTCGCTGACTTCGGAAGAGATTTTACCCTTCGCTCTTCGAGTGATTAACGATAAGTCAACCAACTGGCAGACATACACCCAAGCTCTTCTCGTAAGATCACGAATTGAATTAAACAGAAGTCGAACTGTTGAACGTGCAGTTTTGCAGATGCAGGCCCTTGTGGATCAGGTTATCGTGGATATGCAAGAGATCGATGGCTTAGATGGGACGCGACGTCAAGGTGCAAATGAGCCAGAAGCTACACCTGATATCCCCGCCATCCAAGTGACACCTGATAGCAGGGAGGGTCGACAGGACAACATTCAAAAGCCAACATCATTTCTCCCTGCTCCCAAACCAACCGAATCAGCATCACCGCAGGAGAGACTACGTTATGTCAATGCTTTATCAGCTCCGCCGCGTTGGCACCTTGAGTCCGAGCTCGCCTACGCTTGGACGACGGTTGGGTCACTTGTCTCAGCCTTGGAGATATTTAAACGTTTACGTCTGTGGGCAGAAGTTGCGCTCTGTCTAGCAAGTAGTGCGGCGACTGATGATCAGGATGGTCGGGGTAGCGGGGGTGAGGAGAAAGCTCGGGCTATCATACGATGGCGGTTATTCAATCGCACTGCTGATGCTAACGATGCCACGGACCCGAAAGATGATCACGACGGGGACGATGTCGAATTTGATATCTCATCCCTAAAAGCATCCGACTTCTATGGCTCAGAACGTTCTCCCCCACCTCCCAATGCCCCTCGCCTATTTTGTATATTAGGAGACATAGAGGATGATCCTAAGCACTATCAACGTGCATGGGATGTTTCCAATGGTCGTTTTTCAAGGGCACAGAGGTCGCTCGGTGAGCTCTATCTCCGAACGCAGAAATGGGAAGAAGCTCGAGAAGCATATAAACTTGCTGTTGGAGTTAATAGGCTAAGCTCAGAGATGTGGAGTAGACTTGGTGATATCGAGCTTCGTCTTGGAAACTTTGCTGATGCAGCTGAGGCGTTCCAGAGAGCAATCTCAAGCGCAAATAACACATCCGGTGGTGAAGATGCGAGGACCTGGAGCAACCTTGGGACTTCACTGTTGAGTTGGTATCGCCAAATTATCTCAGAAACACGAGACCAGCAGCACAAAAACTTGACAAAGATGATTCTGACTCTTTAGACGGGATGACAAGCACAAAGCGCGCCGCGGAACTCGGAAAGTCTGCACGTAATATATTACACGACTCCTTAGTGTCCTTTAAACGTGGAGCAACACTCGCCGACTCGAACTGGAGAATTTGGGACAACGTAATCACTCTAGCAGCAAGTATCTCACCGAATCCGGACTTGGAAGATGTGGTTCTCGGAGTTAGAAATGTAATCCGCATTCGCAAGAGCGAAGACGCATTGGATCTCGATATCCTGACCCTCCTAGTTAGAGAGGCGACCAAGACGCCTGTTCCCACCAACATTGAAGAAGGGAAAATATTCGAGCCAGCAAGGGGCACCATCGAGAGCAAGATCGTCTCGCTCTTTGAGAATGATATTGTATCACTCATTACGACGAATTCTGCATCCTGGGCTCTGGTATCACGCCTTCGTGCTTGGAGGAAAGACTGGACAGGGGCACTAGACGCAGCAGAGAAGGCGTGGAGGACGGCTGTCGGCGGGGTCGGGAGCTCGTTGTCAGCATCTAGCGGCGTAGAAGGCCAACATGGGAGCTGGTTAACAGATGCAGACGCATGGGATGCTGTAGTTCAAAGGACATCGGAGCTAGTAGCGGCGTACGAGAATTACGGATCACGTATAGATACTATCGGTACTAAGTGGAAGGGTAAGGCAAGAAGCGCGGTTAGGAGCGTAATGGGAAAAGCCAAGGATTCATGGGAAGATGATCGAAGATGGCAAACATTGGCCGACATGATGGAGGACTTAAGGTTGTAGGGTGAAATACCGCCCTGCTGAAATATAGTAGACTCTTCTCTATGCCATTACGAATATCCAGGAATGCTAGATTTCTCGATATATCCGGCAGTAAACCCTTTGAGGAACATTGACAATCTTATAAAGATGCAACGTAGCATAAATAAGTTAAAAGATACCTAGATAGACTAGATAGACAACCTATGTTCCCAAAACGCCTCCCGCCATCTAATCCTTGACATGCATCTCCTCTTCCTTCACCTCTTAACATATTGCGCCCCAGCCGTAGTTCCCATAGCCCCATAGCCCAGTAGCCCAGTAGCCCAGTAGCCCAATAATAAACCAGACCATATCATCTTATCTAAAGTAGATTCTCATGGTAGTCCCCAGTTCCCAAATACACTTGTCCGTAAAACAGACACCCGATGATGAAATGCATTTCTGACTTAAAGGTATTGATCTAGTAAAGCAAGTAGAGTAAAAATAGAAGAGAATAAAACAGCAAGCTAAAGTTACAAGAATTATGAAACAAACAGGGTATAAAATGCTTTAAACAGAAAAGACACCAACCGATCAAACGACCATGCGTACCTATATCACGCCCTCTAAGTAGGTACCTAATCCTTCTACCTCTTGTATTGTCTCTACTTGTGTTAAAACCTGGTCGAAGTCCACCGAATTATCCAGCTGGAGCTGCGGGGGCGTCGTGACAGCTCTAGCCGAAGCCCAAAGAGAATAATATTAGAAAAGGTCGTAGAAAAAGAAATGAGGTAATGAGTGACAATGTTTGCGGTTAGACACCTGAATATAGGTGCTCAGCTTTAATATGAAGAGAAATGAAATATGAATAACTAAGCCAAGTTGTCGTAGAAAGTACGCCTGAATTTAATCAGTTCGTAAGCGTAAGAGCTGGTTGACTGGAGAATAAAATAAAAAGCTGAAACTCGGAAGAGATGAATCCTGTTTCTTAGGCATCCTCATTCCGGGACAAGGACAGGTTAAAGACAAAAAATGACCGTAGGAAGTAGAGGAGTAGTATAGTAAGGCTGACAAGTAGTGTACGGTCTAAATCCCGTGGCGGGTTGATGTGTTGTGAAGAGAGGGGGGGTAAAGTAGGTCGTCCCTGGGCTAAGCAGCATGTTTTGTTAATATGATAGCAATTCATTGTGGTGATAGAAAAGCATGCGGGCATCACCAGACATCCAACTTCGGTAAGGACTGGGGTTGTATATGGCCAGTGAATGTTTGTTTATTTGGTATCCATAACCATGCAGGCCATGTCCCCAATACCCCAGTTGTGGTATCAAATAAGATGTTAGTGGAGTCTGGTGATAGACTATTATGAAATGCAATGTGTGTAGATCATCTGCAAAGCCAAGAGTATAACACAAGCCTTGAGACCAGGTAGATGTCGTGAAACCACTAAATCTGAGGAAAAAATACGGCAATGCGGACCCCAAGTTTCGAAGTATTGAAGAGACAAGTTCCCGATGATGCCTTTAAAGTAAAGACTGCGTGCGTGACGCAGATGGTATGCATCATGCAGCGGCAGCGGCGCGCACCCGATAGACATACATCTAGACATACATAGACAAAATCCATGTTGCCCACATGGGTGCATCTGCATGTCGACATGCTTGTGACCAATCAGTCACTCGAGACTAGCCATGCAAAGTCGATCATGGTCCCCCAGATTAGCCCTCCTCGATCCCGAGAAGGTAAATAAGACGTAGTAATGATGATGGTGGCAATAGGTTGCGTCCACTTAGCCTTGTTAAGAGAGGAGAGAGGTAGCCTGAGCTTTGGAGCATGGGGGGTTTGGGGGACTTGAAGTTGTCACGAGTACGGCGGCTCCCACGGTGGAATAAATCCAAGAAGTTAAGGCAAGGATACCGGGAGATAAACAGGGGTGAGTTCGTTTGGTATCGTGCGATCAAATTGGAGTGCCGGGTTGAATCATGATTGGTTGACCTCACGACAGCTGACCTTGGCCGAATTCACCCCCCTTTTTTTCTCCCCCACACACGATTTACAAAACCTATACACCATCTCATAAGGCGCACTCCCCACCAACCCTCAACAAACTTGGCATATGCCATCATACGAATGGCCCTCATTCTCCATCTTCTAGGTTCAAGCCTAGCATGGCTCCTCATCACGAACCACACGCGCGCGCGCACGCACACACACCAGACAGACACACACACACCTACTCTCTCTCTCTCTTTCTCTCTTTCTCCTTTAATTCTAGGAAATTCGACCATCCTAGATGCAGAACCATCTCCCGCTTCACACCATACTAGTACCGTATGATTTAACAGCGGCATAATAAAAGGCGAGGGGGGGTTTATGTGCAGGAAAGTATGATACGGATGTCCAAGCTAGATTCCGCGCTCTAGATTGCGGTTGATCTTGTTTTGATTCCCTGATAGTAGAAGAATGGATGGGCCATCCTGCAACCCTCGTCCCTCGTCTCTCTCGCGGGACGCGTCCGGCGTCACACCAACTTCATCCCTGGCGGCGGTAGTCACGCCGCTATTCCCGGTGGCTGACATCACCGTATGCTCCAGTGCCGTACACATGACTTTGGTGATGCTGGTGACTCGTCGTGTAGGCAGAAGCTGCTGTTGAGGTATCGCCGTAGCCGCTCGAAACAGAAATAGGGTCCCAGCGCTGCGTCTGGGGAGCCATACCGTAGCTTGGCGGCGCCGGTAAGTGTTGCTGCGGTCTCGTATCTGCGTGGTGTCTGTATGAAGGAGCAAGGCTAGGGATGTGGATGCCCTGAGGAGAGTGGGACTTGATGCTAGGGGATATTGTTCTTCCGGGATACGCGGCCCATGTCGAGGGTACTCCTGTTAAAGACCGTGGCGATGGCATCGAATGCGAATCGTGGTGAGAATAGCCGCCGTCGGATACCGTCGGTTATGAGGTGGTCCGTAGAGACCTGGACTCGTGCTACTAACAGGTGTGAGTAAAGTCGGCCCCGGTCCAGGGGGTACCGTAGATGAAGGTGACGCAGACTAGATCGTAGTGTTAGCGACGGGAGTTCCTATGTAATACGAAGGAATTTAAGAAGATAGTAGCTATCAGGAGAGCTTATACTCACATATTTAGAGATGATCTTCTTAAGTGCGGAGCTTAAAATCTTCCAGGGAAACACTTTCACATCCTTCTCAATATTACGCGGTTTCACAACCGAGTAGCCCATTATGATCTTAAAAAACTCCTCGGTCTCTGGTTTGGCCTTGCTAACTGTCAGGGGACGGAACCCTTCTAGGTTTCGCCGATACGATTTTTCTCTTCTACGGTAAACCTGTTTGGTGCAGCTACGAGCTGCTCCAACAAAGAGATTGTATCGACGCTCGTCACAAAGCACTCTTCTTTCTCTCCCCAGTATATGCAACTGACGAAAATTCCATTCTGCGGTCGCTCGTTGACTGGTACAGCCTTGAATGATGTCGAAAGGGTTGAGCCTTGCTGCTTCTTGCTGAACATGACTATCCGCCTTCGATCTTCCCATTCGTCCTGAGTCCATCCTGATACCATCGATTCGAGATCTCCATTTATCTTTAACACCGCCTTAGTCGAGTAGAGAGCGTACGGGTTAAGCTGTCCACCCCCTGTCGGCCCGGACGCCTGTAGCGTGCTCGTCCGGATTAGCTGCGGGGTGCTAGATGTTGTTGGTGCCGGTAATGTCGCTATACTACTCTCGGTCGACTAATAGTTGTATGGTTTACGCCGGTAATAGGACTTCGTGCCGAGATGGAATGGCCATATGAGTTCCACGAAGGAGTTTTCAGCGGCGGCGGACGAGGATAGTCGATTGCGTAGGACGAACGATGGTAAGTCCCGATCATATTGTCGTTATTTGAGTAGCTCGTGTCATAGTTGGACGCGACGGTCTGTGGTGCAGTGGGAGCATAGCCGTATGTATTTGTAGCAGATTCGGTTCCCATATGGTCTTGTTCTTGTTGTTTGGTAGGGACTTCCCTCTGTTCAGGTGATCTGGACCCCCTTTTCGCCCGCGTGACATCCTCAGGCGGGCCATCTGCACTCCCGGCTGCAGTGTCATGATAAGTGAACGTGCCGACATCAATAGTAGCCAATGTCTGCCCGGCTGCGCTCTCGATCAGGAGTGATAAAGGCACGTTGGGACTGGGACTCCTCGTGTCTTCAAGCTGCGGTGCGTCTCCGCTGACTGCATAACCAAAGCCGCTCGCATCACTTGTATCCCTAACAGCGTGTGCTGGACTCTTGTGGGAACCAAACGCGAGGTAGAAATGACTCGTGATCGCGATCAGATCGTACGGAGCCGATATCTTGATCAAGACCTTAGTTCCAAATATGCCCGCTGTCGGTTGGTATGAGATCAGCGTCGCTACGATTGGCGTCATGTACTGGCCGGCGGAGCCGTTTGCCGCGAAGGCCATCTGGTTGAGTTGTGCAGCAGCATTTTCAGGTTGCTGGGTAGCAAATTGCTGAGCAGAATATTGGTAGTGAGGATCTTGATACGATCTCGACGAGTCAAACGCTGTGGCTCGGAATCGAGTTAGCTTCATGATTTCTTAAAACTGATCACTATCATTGATATTCTTGCTTGAACCAAAACCACAGAGAGTATGCGTTTCTTGAGTTCTAACCAAATAAACGACCAAGCAAGTACTTACCATGCATCTGGGGCGGCTGTGGTTTCGAATACGTGGACATAGACAGGAGACCAGGCGGGGAATCCCCACGAAGGTCTCCTCCGTTCGCTCTAGCGGCTGCCTCTTCCTCGTACCTAAGAATCACCGTCTCGGGGGACTCTAACGCGTCGGTATCGACGATTATTGGCCTCTGGGGATGATACTGAGGCTATAACACCCGATCAGTACATTTCCAACAACTATATGCCTTCTCTCGAGTTTGACTCACCTCGAACAGCTTATAGGTCGGATATTCAAACTTGACGGCAGACATTAAGCTGCCTGTTTCGAGCAGTCTAGGGATTATGGAATAAAATAACGTTTCCAAATGGAACGAGCAAACACCTGTTTCGGGAGCAGTGTTGCAGAAGTTCGAAGGGGCCTCGTATGTTGAGACTATAAGTAGTATGCTCCCTAGATTCTGTACAGGTAACGTCTGAAGTTCCTGGCGAGAGGGTTAATGGCTATCTTCTCGCGTTCCGCCTGTCTTATGCGATACCAAGCTTACGGGGAGATCTGATATGACTGTTCTCCTGTTGGCGAGACGGTGAAACAGCTACCCAGGAAAATTATGCGAGCGGAATAGGAACCCGTAGTTGCTGAAGACTCAGAAACAAGCCGCTGTAAGAACTGACTGGTTTGAATCTCAATAGACTAGAACCGCAGGATGCTCCGCCGACTTATTCGTGGGGGGGGATTAATATGAAAACTCCTTCTTTCTTCCTTCCTAATAGGCCTAACAGTCTTTGACAACCTAGCTCGCAGGAGTAGATAGGATTCTAGAGCCACTCATTGGTCGAAACAAGCTGTTGGCAAACTGATTCTGAGTCGAGTCTCGGAAAGTGGAAGCATCCAAAACTTTTCCCCACCCCCAAAAGAGGATACTCAACTCCCTTGCTATCCTGTCTGTCCGGCTGCCTGTCAGTACTTCTGCTTTCTTCTTTGCTTGTTAGCTAGGAGATAATGCGACCTATTATCCCGGAGAGCCCAGTCGCTATACAGGTTCTAGGAATTAGGCCAGGAGATTTGTGCCGATAAAAGCGATAGTTGAGTTGGCGGGATTGAGTGACAAGATGCTATAACGTACCGTGTACACTCAAGTTGGTTGAGTGTGGATACCTAGCTTGTTCGTATGCAGCCTGCCCGAACGTGTTCGCATGAAGGTGAGTTAGGAGGGCTGCAATCAGAAGTAGGTGGCTATCCGAGAGGTTCGCGTGTCCCGCGTGGTTCGTGTCGTAGCTTGAACCAAAAGACGAGTTGCCAACAACGAACAGGTAAACGGGCTAAAGAACAGCAAGTTGTCGGAGAAGCTGTTAGCAAACGAACAGGCTTCAGAAGAAAGTCTCTGAAATATGTGTGTGTGAGACGTTGATCCTCAAGCTAGAATCAGATGGAGGGAAGTTCTTCGAAGGGAATAGGAACTGATAAAGAGACGAGAGGAATAAGTTGCAAGACACATTTCTCGGATCGCCGTTGTGAAGTAATGGGGCTGTAGTCAAGATTCCTATGCTGTGGCCGGTCGAGACCATTGCATTACAGGAATATATACTATCGAATGTACCTTTTTCTCGGTTGTTCATCTCAAGCCTCCCCTGCTTTACTTTTATTGTTATTTTAATTTTTCTTCTGCTTCTTTTACTCCGTTTAATTTTTCCCGGGTAGCTCAGGTAGACAGCTGCAGACTTCTAGTGTCTTTCCATGCCACTTAAGAGCATATGGCTTTCTTTAAATCTTGAATTCTACGTTCTTATAATGTTGAGTCGTCGACCAGTAACTTGTGTATGCAGAAAAAATGATGCAAAATCTAGTATGAGTATAGAGAGGGTGGAGGAAGTAATGAACAGGGATACTGGCCGTTGAAATGCGAGATCCAATTGTCTTAAAAAAAAACTGCAAATCATGCAAGGGTCTGTGATCGGGGGGGAAGAAGACTTTGGGGTCGTGCACCAGAATCAGGACTAGGTAGATGATAGATATGGACCCCCCGCATTAGTCGAAAGGGATAGATGCCAGGCAGACCACTAAAGGAAGGTCTTATAGGTAGTAGCATGTAACGGGACGGGCGTGAGAAGAAAAAATTTATTAAAAAAAAAAAAACAAAAAAAAAAAAGGCCTAAGAGCAAAAAAGCATGGGGTTATGTGGTGGAGGAGACATACTAAAGGAGCAATGAACTGATGGGAATGACAAGACAAGGATGAGTAAACCTACACGACTTAAGAAGGGGGTGTATATGAAAGATGGCGCAACTCCGTGTCAGCGTACGTAGGCTAGACTGCACTACGTTGTATGATTTAGGACTGGAGTAGTTGAGAAAATGTAGCCAAGTAGGCGAGTTTAGAGACTTCTAGTCACTAACTGACAGAAGGTAGGTAAGGTAGGTAGTCAGTATTGCAAGTACAGAGATATTTGTGCATGAGGTACATGTAAGCAGGTGTGTTTTGATATATCTTGATAATTTCTAACTATACATATGTAATTCTCTTAGCTCCGATTTTGTAGTTTGACCACGGGATAGACAATTAATGAAATGGGGCCAATGTAAAGTCGACATCGCACTCGCAAGCGTAATGGCATAGGACCTAGGACCTAGGACCTAGGACCCGGGCTAAGTATATTAGTGAGAGAGCCAGGTAGATACGCGAAAATAAAACTTTCCTGCTGTCAAATGCTTTTTCCCTTCTTCTTCTTCTTGGTTAAGTCGATCTATCAATAGACGCCTGTTGTCTGGAGCTTTGGAGATGGGTACGCGGGTGTAAGTCGTGTGTAGATCGACAAGTGGGAATTACCGGAAAAGGGTAAGAGACTGGGAATATTATTGGCTAGCTACTCATTCCGCTAACTCATGCAGCTATTGGACGATCTCCGCAGGTCAATGGAGGATTGGGCAGCCATCTTGAAAGAACCTAGCCTGCTTGGGATGGTGGGATGACCTGGGAGTTCGCAGTGGCCCGCCCGCTCCATGCCCTCGTGAACTGGATACTCCGTAGAAATGTTAAATAACTACATATAACCGACATGTGTACCACTCGGCGAGATTTGCTCATCTCATAGTGGTAGGTTCTAAAATAGAAGGGGTAGAGAATAGACGACGGCATCAGCCGCCTCTAGTGGAACCCCAACCCTTGACTTTGGGAACCGAATCAGGGAAGATGGTCAGGGGATTTTTGTATATCGGTACTTGAAAGATGGTTGAGTAGAGCCCCCCCTTGTCCATCTTGGCAATATCTTCTTTTTTCTTTTCTTTTCTTTTCTTATTCTTCTTCTTCATCCTATCAGTTTCGGGGCTAAGCAGTTTGTAAGGCGTGTCGGTGAACAGTTGCGACAGCTAGCATTTGCTGTATTCTCTTCAAAATTTATTCGGTCCTTTCACCCTCGGGTAGGAATGCTGACAACGATTCTCCGGTGCGCGAGAAATAGCCATTCTAAAGGGAAAAGCAACATACATACCAGAACATAGCGATTAAGACGCCGCAGAGGGAGGCTGGCACGACAATCTAGGTTGCTAGGTCATAACATATAAGAATATATTTTTACTAGAATTATTACCTAGTACCTAGTAATCAATTTTTCTTTTCTTTTTTATACATGCTATTAGCATATACCGACGAGTCGGCTTCGGTATGCCATCCGGAGTTTGTGTATGAGCTGCTTTCTATTTTTGGGAGGGATGATCAACTAGGTATAAATTATAACTTCGTATGAATTCGAATTAAGAATAAAATCACGATATTTATATATTAGGTACCTATATATACACGCATTGCACCTCTATGTGAGCAAATGGCAATCCCTTGTCAACTCGAGAGAGTTGTGCTAGAAGGACGAACGATAGAGCTGGTGGTATCCATGTCGTTCAAATTCAATAGCAACACGCCATGCTCAGAGCGTCGACTATAATTGAAGAAAGTTATATCTAAAGTCGACGTATAGTTTCGTCAAGTCCGGCTAATGCAATGCCACTCGCTGTTTAGTTGTTTACCAGCTTGCGGAGGTATCACAACGTAGAAGGCGTCGATCTCAGCTATGTAAGTCGTTTGTGAGGACTAACACTCTCGTTCAAGGATACCCATGGAAAAAATTACAAGTGGTGAGATTCTTTCCCTCTTTTGATGATGAGGCTTCGAGAAGCACTCGTCACGCAGCAGCAGCTCTATCTCAACCCAACTCTTCCTAAAAGCATGCATGCATGCATACATTAGGTACACATTCGTTCTATCCAGCTATCTATTAGCTATTCCGATAACCAGTATGGGGTGTGGGAAAATAACATAATCCAGTGTCAGAGTGTACGATCATAGTGTATGTACCATCTACTATGTATATGTACTCTCGTATGATGATCGCCCTTGGCAGTGGGGGAAACCCTGTCGCAGGGATTTTGATGATGCTGCGGCGCATCTACAGTGGTGTAGAAAGGTAGTCACACGGTAAAGACTAGAGGCATCTATCTAGATCATGTAAGGCTTACTCTTCCGGCTTGCCGTATTTGTACGCAGCAGTATATGAATACAGTATGTATGACCATCTTTATGTGCTACTGTAACTTGCGAGTTACAGGAAGCTATTTACATGAGTCTCGTGCAGCTCGGCACCCTCAAAGTTATAGATGTATGTATGTGTATATGTATGTGTGTGTGTGTGTATGTATATACATATGTCTTCTATCACATCGGCTGACAACTCTAGACCCGTATGATCATGCGGCCCCCAATTCCGAAGCTAATAAATAAATTGAAGAGAAGCACCCCTACGATTGCATATAAATCTTCACCCCTCTCAATTACAAATGTAAAGAGCCTTAGATAACCAACACCAGAGTTTCTCTCCTATGAATGAATTTGAGGAGCAGACTATATGCGTAAATACAGAATTGTATATATACGACGACATTAGCAACACCCTCACACGAGTTTCCAAGGTTCTTATTCTAGGCACGTCAGGACTCGATCGTCACACCTCCGCTCAGATCTTAGATACGGCCGTACATACCTAGGTAGCTAGCGTAGGGGACCGATAATTCTGTCGCCGCAAAACTGATGTACAGGCCATCATTAATAGGATGTATCCTATAAGTATAATTTTCATGTCGTACAGAATGCCTGCAACGGTGGCATACCGTCCTAATTCTAAGGGCCTACCTAAGGTAAACAATGTATAGTTATCGCCAGAGATCATAAACATTAAAGAACCAGGTCGAATGCTTGACGATAAGTTGCGAAATAGACTAGTTAAGACGCCTATCAACTCAGGACGGCCGCAGATACATACAAGCC